CTGTCGATAGCCATTGTAAACACCACTGATTATTTGGGGTTATATGCATCAAACGATAAAGCATGTCGTTTCGAAAAGTTAAATGTAAACACTTTAAAATCGCAAAAGGACGGGAGAATATTTCACTTTCAAATTTTGCTCCAAGTTGTGTAAATTTTATCGAAAAGAATTAACTACTAGACCTAACATTACTGGCAGTCAACATGGCGGTCACCGGTGTTGACGAGGACTGGTAGCTGGAAAGGAGAGAGACAGAGAGAGAGAGAGAGAGAGAGAGAGAGAGAGAGAATTTGTAACTAAACGAAGCACATTTTCGCGCGTCCGATTGCAGCCTTTTTCGGCTTGCTGAGGGGAACGACGCGAGCAGAACGTCGTCAGTTTCAGCAAATTATCCGCTTAGTACTGAAATAAACGCGAAGCGAGGCGGAGGAACACGATGTTCCTTGGGTTACTTCCGCACGCGGGAGCCAGTTGGTCGGGATCGACGCGCGTCGGGTTATTATTGTTCCGTCAGTATCGAAGAGGAAAGCGCGGGTCAGCTCGAGAATGCTTTAATGCCGGGGCATCGTGCAATTAGCGATGGCCCTCGAACCTAACCTAACCATTCGCGATCTCTCGTGCCAGCACCTATTCGCGGTTTCTCATGGTATATCGAATGCTCGATAAACGCAATCCGAGCTCGCCCGAGCGTTCCCAAGGAAGCGCGCCGCCTTTGGTCGCATTTATCATCCCTGAACTCCGCGAAACAAAACAGAAGACTTCGCGATAGGAGCCAGCATCTATAATCCCAACAAATACAATAAATAATTACAATTGATAATTATCGTACCGACCACTCTCTCGTAGGTGGAGTCTCTCGTTCTTCGAAATTCCCTCAGCCGTGAAATCATCTCCGCACATTCTGCGAGATGTCCTCCAACCTCCGCAATTTCGAAGACACATCCGAGGTGTCAGTGACGAACAACTGACTACCGCCCGGTATATTTTTCTTACCTTATTTTTCCGCGCGCGTCCTCGAGAAATACGAAATACGTGAGTCGCCCGTCGCGACGTATCAATCAATATTCCGGCGGCGAATAATTGCGGTGACTCGCGGCGTCGCGTCGGCGAGGAGTCTCGCCTATTCTAACGCGGTGGATAAGAAGCGCACCTGTTCACGTATACACGCGGCCATACTCGCGCGCGCGCCTTATTATCCTCATTTCAAGTCCCGTCCTGCGAGTCGCGCCAGATAAACCTGTTATATCTTTTCCGGATCTGGTTTCGCGACGGCAAGCGCGAACGCGCGGCGAGCGCGCGCACGGCGTATATTAAACAATTGGAATTTATAACGCACGATCGAGTACGACGCGCGCGCGCGCGCGCGTTATGCGGCGATTTTTCGCCCTCCGGCGACCGGCGGCTACTCGCTTTCGCGTTCTCCGCGAGTTTGCGAGTGAAACGCCGGCGTGCTCCTCGCGCCGATTCCTTTAATCCGCATCACGCACGGATTACCGAAGCAGCTGTCGACTGCAATCTCGAGTCGACAATTAACCACCTCGCGGCGCGTCTATTATTTCGAGCGCCGTGCATGCTTCTTTTCCGCCTTCGAAAAAAAAAATCTAACCTGCAAAAAAATACTGAAAAAATATAATACGTTTTCGTACAACATCAGAAAAATAGTAGAAAGTATACGCTCGTATACGTCGGAGGAGTCGAAGGAGTCGTAGGAACATCGCAAGGTGATGGGAGTGGCGGCTCTACGAAGGAAGGCTTAAATCACCCGTCCCCGCGATGGGGGGAAATAAATCCTCGCGTAGCAATAAACTATAATTCACAGCGGGAGGGAACGGATTAATACGAAATTACCTCAGAAGTCTGTTCACGCGGGTAACGCAATTACCCGCTCATTAGTGCGACTTTCTCATGATGGGTAGACCTCTTGAGAATTTTTCACGCGATCCACCGAGACCTACAGCAGTATCTTCGTAATCGAAGTAAATAACGAGTGAGAGAGAGGGAGGGAGAGGGGGGGCGAGGGAGAGAGGTGAATGTGTGTAACCTGCGGTTTACAGCGAGAACGAAAGGGTTAAACGTGGCCTTTCTCCTCCGTCCGTTCGTTCGCTCTCCTTCCTCATCGGCTCGCCTGTCGGCCGTCACGATCCACAGCTGACCGGCTTGACGAGCGCCGCGGGAAGAACGGCAGTTCTCGTTTCAGTTGCTGATGCGCCTCGCGGTGTGCTCCAGTTGCCGGCATCGCCGTCGATTGTCCGGTAGGCGGCTAATAGCCGCTTCACGTTAGGAATAATAACGGGGGCCCGACGTATCGAGTGTCGACCGACAGAGCCTTGTGAGGTCCTTTCCACCACCGGCCGAGCCCTTTCGAGCAACAAAGAGCAGCGCGGGAAGGGGGGAAGAGAGGGAACTCTCTTTCTCTCTGCTCTGCCTCCTCTCTCGACCCTGTCGCGCGATATCGTCGTGATTTACGACCGGCTGTAATTCTTATGTAATTTAATGTATTAATCCGCCAAGCCACGAGGCGCGCATTTCGTGATGCTCTTGATAAGAAGAACCGCGTGGCCTCGCTCCCGTTCGGCATCGACGCTAATTGCACCGCGTGGGTGGCTTCTTTTTCTTCCTTGTTGACTTTTTCGCGGAGACGTTGCGCGTCCGGCCGCGCGCTCTTCGGGAGCGCTTCTTCTCCCTCGCGAGGAAACCCGCTCTAGTGGGAGCTGATAATCTCGGAATCAGCGACAATGTGTGAATGCGTGAGTAGCTCAAAGTATGTTACACACGAACGAACAATTTCGGTTGCCCCCGACTCGCTTCGTTATCCCGCCGGCGCGAGTGGTTAATAGCCACGTCATGGTGAGGATAATAAGGGCTGTCAGGTATTAGATGTCGGCGAAGAAGGCGGCGCGCTGCATGTTCTCCTTTCGGACGGAGCGCAGCCAGGCCGCTACGCGCCGGAGGAAGAGCAGTTCCTCCCAAAATTATCTCTCGCGTGACACCCGTCGGAGTGAATCTAGAATCGGGGCAGTGCGCGTGTGCGACTTGCTTGAAGTGCGTTGTCACGTGCGCGCGAGACTCCGACCCTTTAACCCGCGATCCTCAATTCCTCAAGCTCCGCCGGCGCCGCCTTCATCTCCGAACGTCTCATTTCGCAATCTTCGCGGTCTTCTCAGTCGCATCTTGCAATTTGCAATTGACACCGTCGAACCGTGCAACGAGATAACAAGGAGAAAACCCAACATGAGATGGTCGTCGGCTTGACGCGACTCCACGACTACTTTACTTCTCCGCCTTTCGGTGTGATCTGTAACGCTTCTAGTAACGCGCGAGGAAGAATCGCGAATGCAGCAAACGCGATGCACTCGAAGGCTATCAGTCTCAATCAATTATGAGCAGCGCCCGGCCGAAGCGGCCCGGTAAACGCGCGAGCAGCAGAGCTTTAGCGGGTAATGAACTTGTTCGAAAAATTCCATGAATACGTTATGAAACGCGAGATGGACTCGCAGGGGCGGTTTATTTTCTACGCGTCATATTAACAGAGTGAAATATCTCGAAGCTATAATCCCGCCGTTGACTAGCTCTCTGGCCTCACCTGTCACTCCCTTACGGCTCGCGCAGTCGGTTTAGCGCGCGAGCGCATCTCTCCTCGCATCTACCACCCGTCGTTCGAAGAGAAAGAATATCGCGTCACGGTCGTTAATCCCGCTGCTATTTCTCGTTTATACGTTTTCTGCTTATTAACTACCGAGCTGCCTGTCGGTCTCCAGTTGCTCAAACATTCGTTTCCTCGGCGCTTACACCATGCGTGAGAGGAAGGTCTGTTCCGCTCGCACGGGTTGAAAGTTGTGTGTCGCATGTGCCGAACAATCGAGCGATCGTATTGATTATCGCGTGACCGTCCAAGGATTTCGTCCGTGAACAGTGATGGCGAGAGACAATGCGTCAGATTTGAATTATGCTTTCTACCTTGCTCAATATCCGCTTCTAGCGAGCTGCAACGAACGGTCAGTCTGTATGAGAATTCCGCTGAGCGCCGCGCGATTGATTTCGAATTGGAGAACTTTGCGTTGAATTATTTAAACGGAGAATTCAATCATGCATCCAACGCATACGTATATGATGCTCGTTTAATCAGAATTCTTTTCTCTCAGTCAGTCTTTATTCCTATAGCATTTTATTTTTCTTGTCTCTATTCGTCGAAACAATTTAACAGATTTTTCTACATCTGCGTCTTTTATTTCGTACTGAGATTTGATACGTCCAACAAAGATACTTCCCACCGCACAATGACGATGTTCTCCAGCCTTGATAATTTAGAGACTCTCGTCACCGACGAGGTAATACTAGAGACTATCAGCCTTGGGCAAATTTTCGTATCAGCAAGGGGGCCCTGGAGGGCCCGGCGGTAATTGAAGAATGACGGCAATATCGACTTTAGCTACGCCACCGACAAGGCACTAATAAGAAAGATTATTGATTTTACCGGATTTAAAATACCAGAGAAATCCTTCTCATTGGAAGAATTTTTATTTCAGCTCTCAGAAACAACATGCTGCAATTTTCTCCGATAGCAAAGGCGGAAAAAGTATTCAACAAATCTCGGTAATCCCAAAAAATTCTTAAAATTATTTTCTTAAAATTATTCTTTTCTTTAATCATGCTGGGAGAGAGGGACTTAAATAATGATGATCTTTCTAACTCAATCATGCCTCTCGCTGTCGTGTCGTAAATTTAGCCACCGACGATCGTCATGTTAGTATTCTTCAATAGTTACTGATGGACCAATCTGTGAGGGTACAAAATTGTTCATAGGATTTTGCTTCCGTCCACAACAATATTTATATTTAAAACAAACTGGAAACGTATTTCGAAGTATTTGAAGAATAATTTTTGTTTTCTCAATTTCCTATGAATCGAAAGTTATTGCGTTAGCGTGAAGGATGGAGGAGAGTGAGAGAGAGGGAGAGAGAGAGAGAGAGAGAGAGAGAGAGAACGAGATAACACATTTATAGATCTAACTTGGTCAATATTAACAGTTGGCCAATTAAATTCTCCCTAATGCCACATCAATACATGTTTAACGCTTGTCAGTGTTTTATAACAGACGATTCGCATTAAATGAGAACTTATAATTTCTCTCGTTGCAACAAATCATTGGTCCCGCAACAATTATGGTCATTGTTTCAGATTAATATCATCAACGATTTTGCGTCTATAGCACGATGTAGGCTATTTGAGCTTCCTTTTCAGTGTATGCGCGCGCGAATATACAAACTTTTACAAAATATAATAAAAGCTAAATATTCGCGGACAATTTTACGCGAGAAATATCAATCTCAGCTTAAGCGCGTTGAAGTGTCGTTGCAACTCAATAATAACAATCATTCGTATATCTATGTACACTTGACATACTGTCGCTCCTACGCTCGGACACTATTTATTCCCGTCCCGAGAGGATTCTCTGACGATAATCTAACGATATGTAACCTTAACGATAATCTTCAAGTCCGCGTTCTTTCTTCTCGTATCCTCTCATTTCGAGCTTCATCATTCGAATCTTGCCACCTTGCTCTCTCGCGACATGCGCATACGCTTTCTTGAATAACTCTAGTACTATTATTGTCCTTGTTGCAGCACAACGTTACAGCAAGTATTAGCTCACACATATACGTATATTATAAAGTGACTCGAGCGTGATAAACGCTCGAGTCACTTTATAGTTGGAAAGGCATTGCCGTAATAGCGGTATTACGCGCATTATTAATGCTACAACATACATCCGTCATTATTCTAACAACAAAGTGACCCTGGAAGTGGACCCGCTAACGATATAGAAATTCCCCAAACTAAACTGAAACCAAGTAAAAGAACGCAATGCAATAAAACAGAAAAGAAATAAAATTACAAATATATATTAAATCGATTTTACTTTAACCTTATTTATAATATGTATATATGTACTATGCGTACACAAACTCAACGTATACGAAAATAACAACAGCGAAGAGTCGGAGAACGCAAAATTTCGTTAATTTTTCGTGGACGTTGCGAAATATATTAACATCTCGGTGGGTGTAATTCAGATCGAAATTGTCAGATTGATTCCCGCTGCGATATCGAACGGACAATTAATTGCTCACACAAATTATTTCATACGGGGAGGGATAACGATCGTCAGATGCGTCGGCGGGAAGATAGCGCGAAGAAGGGAGAGAATTAAAATTGTCTACACCTGCGTAACAATAAATAAGTGTCTTATAAGCACACGCGACTTAATGGGTACTTTTTACGGATACTCATTTTTCCAGTAGCACTGTTCATTGTTCTACTGTTCTTCAAAAAACGAAAAAATGTTCCGCGTGTATAATAGTTCAAAAAAGCGACAATCAAGATGCTAATTTCACGTTCCAGCCTCGACACTCCTCCCTCTGAAGTACAAGGAAACGACAAATATTGTGACATCTGACGATTGTTTCTAGTTAATTGTGTACTTAATGGAAATAGAACATTTCAAGACAAAATACGGAAAATTGGCATACTATAATTGGCAGCTATATTTACACTAAACTTGCATAGAACTGGAAGTAGAACAATCATCAGATGTCAGTATTTGTCGTGCTGGAACGCAAAGTTAGCACGACACATCTTAACTCTCGGTTTTCTGGTATCGTACATGCGGAATATTTTTTCGTTTTTTGAAAAACAGTAGAACAACGAAAAGTGCTACTGAAACAATGAGCGTTGTTTATTAATTTGCAAAACGTCGTGCTAACTTGAGACAGACAGCGTTAAAACTACAGTGACATCGACGCACAGCGATCGTACAACGAACATACGCGCGCATAGCTTTCACCGCGTTTATATAATGTAACTTACAAGGATATTGTTCAAGAAGTTCGCACAGCAACATCGCCGGCCGGTGCGGCAGCAAAAGTGGCACAAGGCGACATAAAATACTGCGTTTACATCTATTACGCTGACAGAAATCCCGATAAGCCGCAAGTCTGATACTGGCGATCTCGCGTGTCTTGACATCCACTTTATCAATCGTAACTCGTCTCTACCCGTCAATTTGTCGCACATCGTAATACTGTAACAAAATTATAGTTTTAATCGTCGCCTTAAACACGACATCGAGTTCCGAAGGCGTTAAGTTCGCGCGTTAATTTCGCCAACACTGATCCGCCGCTCGAATCGGCGCTTCATCGGCCGATCAGTCGTACGGTTGGACCAATTGTTAATTAAACCAATCTGCGATCAACTGTTGAAATTCTGTTTATAATTGTTGTGCGTAATTAATCATTCAAATTCCAACAAATTAATGATTCTATCCATGTGGGAAAATCAGCGAATACTGCTTTAAACCTATTACAGCTATTCCAAATACAAATTGTGAAGGAAGAATGGACAAACTTTTAGTTCTCGTTTCAGCGACAAACTTTGTGTTTTACTTTACATGCCATTGGCAACTCCAATGGCTGAGATAATCGTCGATTAACCGAATTTCGACGATTGAGCCGTCAGCTTTTTAACCATTCGTAATTCGCAACGGAAATTATCGCGATTGTTTTCATTATTCGTCATTCGATTATCCTTCCAACGTTCCAACATTCGCCTTTAGTCTATTTGGTCCTCGAAAGTATAAGGACAAGCTAAGATTGTATACTACGATCGAAGCTAGGACTGATTGCAGGTGGCGGGAGCCAGCGACCTGCAACCGCGAGCAATCTGAGCGCGCCATCACTTTGTGACCGATTGCTCTTCGAGGACCTCGTTGGCTCTGAGCTTGATCTCCTTCCAGGAATACTGTATGTCCTTGCTCTCGCTATATCGAGAACAGACGGACAACCGCAGGAAAAATGTGTCGTTTATCTTGGACGGGACCAGATGGATGTTTCCGGCGCCGTTGATCCTCTTGAGGAGAGCCTCGTTTAGATCATTGGAGCCCTACAAAGAAAAGTAGTCATCCTCCCTCCGTGCATAATTTATCTAAGACATATATGAATACAGTTGTCTCGTCCGATCAGTCGGACGAGAAAGTGTCGTCTGTTTTTCGTTAGCAGTCGCGAGATTAAAGGACTTTTCCGCGGGTTCTTGAAGACCGAGAGAGCCCCCCCCCATCAATCTACCTTTAATCGGAAGCAAACCAGTCCCATGATGACTTCACCGATGATCTCGAAGCGGGGATCGGACAGAATGAACGCCTCGAACTCGTGCGCTTGAGCGATGTGCTTCCTGATGAACTTCTGAAGGTTCTCGACGCCGTAGAGCCTCAGTACGAACCAGAGCTTGAGGGAACGGAATCTACGGCCGAGTGGGATCTGCCAGTGCTGCGGTTGAACAGACAGCGAGAACTCGGTCAGGATCTCCGAGATTGTTTCCGCGCGGCGAGCGCGGGATCTCAATTAGACGAGAGCGAGTACGAGCGTAGACGATGTCGGTGCGATTTGCGACACCGCTCGAGCGAGAGCGACAGACGTTACCCTGTAATCCGGCGCTGAGCCCTGCATATCGTGCTTCAGGTACAAGGGATCGACGTTGAAGGCGTTTATGACGTACGTCGGGTCCTTGAACCACAAGACGGAGCAGTCGAAGTTGATCAGCATCCACTTGTGCGGGTTAAAGTTGTACGAGTCCGCCAGCTCGATGCCTTTCATCAAGTAGCGGTATTCCGGGCAAATGAACGCGGATCCTGCGGGTCGCAACGATTTTCTTGTGACGAGCGGTCGTTATTGTTGGATCGTAGCAAGGCCTCGACGCCTCAACCCAGGTCGGTACCCAGGTATAGCAAAAAATCACGATGACGGCAAAATGATGAGGAACACTCATTTTTTTTTCACGTCACGCATTCGCTCGTCTTCTCGTCATTTCGATGTCATCATGATTTTCTGTTCTGCCTCCCGGATGCCTCTCGCGCGAGATCTTCCGCAAGTACGTAGCTTCCGTCGTGTATTTTGTACAAGTTTGTGTATTCGCGCTGGATACAAGACAACGTTCCGTTCCTGATTTCCTGACAGGTAGGTGCTCGCTCGCGAAATCCGCCGTTGTTTCTCGACCGCGATGTCGACGAGGCGAGAGATTAGCTTACCCGCGTAAGCGGCGTCCACGTGCAGCCATATGTTCTCGCGATTCGCCACGACACCTATTTCGTCGAGACGGTCGAAGGCGCAGCAAACGGTGGTGCCCAAAGTAGCGACGGCCTGTGTGATTCGACGGGAAATGTCGTGATATGACGTGATATGACGAAATTGCGTGATCGAGGGAAGGATATCGGTTAAGCTGTACTTACGTAAAACGGTATGAGTCCCTTCTCCCTGTCCTCCTGGATCGCCTTCGCGAATACGTCGCCCCGGAGCTTATACTTGTCGTCGATCGGCAACAGTCGGAATTTCACTCCACTGAAAAGTCCGGCGCGTTCCACCGAGCTGTGCGCTTGGCCTGCGAAGACACGATTGTCCGAAGTTACAACTTCGCTCGATTGGGCTCCTTGACGTATAAAGGAAGAAAATCACGTCCCTTATTTAAATCACGCAACGGTTGCTTCACCAAGTTCACTAGAAACGCCTCCGGTGAATCTCTCATACAACTCTTTCAAAACATCTCCCGACATCTTTTGAACAACCCATGAAATCTCTCGTGGGATATTACGCGGGGAAAAAAGTACTCGTTGATACTCATTGTGTCGTGATGCCGACGAAATTGCCGGCGTCATTCCTCGATAATTGAAAACGCTCGTCGCGCGTCATTCGCTCTTCGTAATCGCGATAGCGCGAAAAAGGAGAAGAAGGGAGGACACTCCATTGTTTTGACACAACCGACAGCTAATTGAGAGATGTAGCTTCGCTCCCTCGATATTCCCCAGTCGAGAAGACACGAGAAGGAAAAAGGTGTCGTTATATGCATCGTGCCGGTGAATAGTCGACGGGACATTTTTGTCGTCTCGATGAAATCGCGCCGCGAAATTGTTGTGGGAGTTTGAGAGAGAGAGAGAGAGAGAGAGAGAGAGAGAGAGAGCAATAGAGAAAGTTCGGTCTCCGAAATATATAACTGGAGCGGTTATTACGAGTTGCCATGGCGACAAAGTGCTGCCTGATGAAGTGCCGCAACCCCGTGCCCACCCCTGTCACTCCATACCCATTCATCCCCTCCGTTTCCCCCCTTCCCCTGCTCTCACGTGCCTTTGCACCGATTACGTCTGGTCGCTGAAAGCGGCTGGATACTACTCGAAATTACGTTAGATCGAATTACGTTCGTCCTTTACGCGCGAAGTAACACGACGAGGAATTGGACTCCCTTTGAGTTTAAGTGAACTTGAGGTCACGCGAGCACATGACGAGCTAAAGATCGCTCGCAAGGTCCCTCCTGGCTGGATGTGCTTTCGGAATTTCTTCTCTGCTTTCGACGCGTCGTAATTCGCTCGACGCTCGAGCGTCTGTTAGCGCCAAACTGCGAGTCGCACGTCGCGCGTTCGCAACGAGTGCTGTAGCATGCAGTTCTTCTCCGCGGAATAAAGATAGAGGATCGAAGAGTGCGTTTTAGCGCGACACGAAAGTTCGCGCATCGACGTTCGATCGAGAGAGAATCGTTCCCGGAGAGGGGGGAAAGTATCGAGAAAGAGGAAAATCACACCGCGGCCGCTTTCTCGAGTTTGATCGCGACTTATCGTGAACGTTTGAGAAACTTGGTTACACCGCAAGCTGTACTCACAGGAGCAATACGCGACGAGCTTGTCGATGATCTCGGGGTTCGTCCACTCGGGGTGCTGCTCCTTGACTTGCTTCAGCTTCTTCGCCTTCGCCCCCAGCAGCGCTACCAGAGTCGCTTCGCTGGCGGTTCCCTGCGGAGATGCGATTCACTTTGCAAATTTTTTAGAAGGTCGCACGCTGCTTTCGAACGATCCATCGCGGCTGTTGCACAAAGCTGGATATCTGCCGCGGAAAGGCTCGACATATTATAATGCCACTCTCGCAACGTGATCCTACCTGAATAACGCCGCCACCTTTGCCGCCGCTGCAGGCGAGAAATTCCTTCGGCAGGTCTATCATTTTCCCCAGCCAGTCCAGCATGATCACCTCCAGTTCGGTGCAGGCTGGACTCGCTATCTGCGATTGATGAGAGTGACAACGTGACAAAATGAGCGAGAAGAAGGACGATTGCGTCCCGTCGGATTGCGCTTCGCCTTCAAGCTTCGAGGTTTTCGCTCACAACTTACCCAGGAGAATCCGATGCACGCGATGGCTCCGCTTAACATGTCGGCCACAATCGCGGGGTATGATTGCGCGGTGGGAAAATACGCGTGGAATTTCGGGCTGTGCCAGTGAGTAACCTGCGAGGACAATTGTGTCTTCGTCTATTTATCGTCCGCAGTCAACAGAGCGAGAATGTATCTCCTCTTGGTTTCTCTCGATATCGTTATTTCGTTCGTGTGGTTTCGAGTCACTCGTTACATTTATGCGTCGACAACTCGATGATGAAATTCAGAAAATTCTCCACTCGGAAGAGCGAAGAGAACGTTGTGGATTTTATCACCAAACGCGTCAAAACACACAGAAATATTACACACACCCAAAAAAAAAATATATTCTATTTATAAAGTGATTTTTTTCCCATAGTCTCATTGTCTAAGCGGAGCCTTTTACAGGAGAAGGATTCCTCTTTCGATAAAGCGATTAAAGTGAAGCATTCATCTAAAATTTATTAGATATTATTCCAACTGTTTTTCTCTTATTTCAAGAAGATTTCCTCTTATATCAATTAATTTTCCTCTTGTAAGAGAAATATGTTGATTTAAATGTCGGCTTCTTTTGTTCAGTCTACCTCCAGATATGAACGAAAAAATAATCGTATATTCACGAGTCCAGGATATTTGGAGGGCTTTTTAAAAAAGATGTATGTTGCTGTTGCACATATAATGAAGATAATTTACGCATATTTGGTCAAATACAGTTTATAATCTATTGCAAGCAGTTGAATAATATATTCTTTCTTTTAACTATGTTTCATATATAATTGGTTATGATGAACATCTTTGTAGCTATAAAGTCCATCACAAAACTGATTGGAAATTTATTTGTTATGATGATCATATTTCATTCGTGCTTACTTATTGTAGAACTGGAGCCAAAAGTACATCCTATGTATATTACTTTTCGCTATACATTATAATAATTTTTTCAAATTAACTGTGATATAACCAGTAAGAATAAAGTACAGAGTAAGAATAAATAATAATCCTCTTCGAAAAAGATTAAATAATCTGTGTGTAAGATCTGTGTATAAGTTTATATTAAAATCAATAAGATTTGCATTATACATGTAACATTTAATCCCTCCAGCTTTAAGAATAATGTGCTTGTAATATTTTCCTCTGAATCTTAGAGGAATCTTCTTGAGGCCATATATAAGAATAAAACCCTCTAAAATTGAGATGATTCCGCTTGTTCTGAAATAATTTTTTTTTTTTGGGGTGCGGTATAGTTCGAACGCTGGAATGAAATTTTGTGTCGAGCGCAGAAAATCGACACATTTGTCGAAGTCACTCGATCTTTCGATGGCCCGAGCTACTTCGGATTACTTACACCTGGCATTATCACTCTCTCGATGTCGGCCATGACGTTCTGCCACTCCTCGGGGTCTTGCGGCGCTTCGGAGGGCAAGAGGGGCTTCATGTATCCCGGTTCCACCGTGGGCAACACTCGTCTGAAAATTTACAAAATTTACAAAATTTACAAAATTCGCGTGCGCTTGCGTGCGTTTTAATTCACAGAGTTAAGAAAGCAAGACGTCTCGACTATTCGGTCGAATTCATCGCCGAGCGCGTTGTCTCGATCGCGTGGCAAGTGGCTGTCGCTCACCTGTCCCTAATATTTTCTAAATAGTTCGTGATGTACTCCGCCATCTCCTTGGCGAAATCCTTGAAGTTGTCGGCATCCATGACTCGCTCCCTTCCTTCTTCTGTAATATATAATAGACGAGAATATTCATTAGCCAGGGACATGAATAGAAGAATATCCGCTCGATATCGCCGTTCGATCGCGGCTCGATGTAAATACGGCACAGGTGTGGTACCCATATCCTTCGCATATCAATGTGGAATGGGTCCAGTTATCGCGTTATCACGTACACGTGTATCGCGCAATTTTTCATTCATTGTTGAAGGATGAGCGCTTATCTGCCTGTTGGATCGGACTCGGTACTATCGCATAATCGAAGATTGCACTTCCGCGATTGCGACGAAACAAGAATCGTTCGAGACAGAAGCGTGCGAGACCGTCGTGGCCGGTTTCGCCGCGGATTCAAGGATGCGTGTTAATAAACACGGGTTATAGATAAAAAGTGAAAGTGGCACTCGCGTCGGTCGCGACGTCGCTAACGACGAGGATTACTTCAGGCGCGGGAATTGCGTTTAGGACGACGCGACGTGCTTCGGGGACGCGGCCGGTCGTATCGTCGCGCGGCGTTTGTCGCGCGAGCGGACTCGAGCCTCATCACCTGATGAGGCGGACGTGTCGTCGGGCGGAGCGATAAAACAATTTCGTTCATTAGTCATGTATCGCAGCCGCGCGCGCTGCGGTACGCGGATTCGTGCCGATTCGACCGCCGAGATGGTCGATAAATTATTGCGAAAGTATAGGAAATGATCGGCGGCGTGTGACGCGCGCGATTCCAGATGTATTAAAATGCCGGCGTTTGCGTCAGATCGTTGCGTTTCCCAGGCTGATTCACAAACAAGGCAGCCAGGAATGTTACACGGCGCTGATAAGCAGCTCCGCGGCGAAACGCGTCAGGCGACGCACGTCGAGCCTCCCTAGTGACGCGAATCTTGGAAAAGTCGGCAACACGAGCGCGGCAGATATGCGTGTGTGTGCGTGTCGTCGGATAGAATGTCGTCGAGATCGGGCATGGAGGGAGAAGGACGACGAGATCGAAAGAGAACGATCGCGGCGGACCGGCACAGTCGCCTTCGTAGAGAAGTAAGAGTGAATTCGCCGTAGCCGAGCGATGACCATGACTCATTTTCCACCGCATACGTTCGGCGCTCGCGGCTCGCCTCTCTATCTATCGAAACGCGGGATTTGGATCCGTTACGTTTTTTCCCGCCGGCAATGACTTGTACTCGGGCGTGATTCACGCGGATTTCAGAGAGCGCGGAGACAGCTGATCTTGGATCGCGTATTCTGAATCGTTTCGGACCTTGTCAGCCGGTTGTCTCGCGAAGATGAAATCTTACTTATCACGGCCTTTGGATTTTTTTCTACGAACACGATCGAACGTCGGGTTGAGGCTCGGACGAGCAGAAAAAGGTGCGATTAATTTCAAGCAGTGGGACTCTGCTGTTCCGCTCGAGAGCGCGAAAATGGAAATGGGATCGAGCAGCAATCGTTGTGCAATTTGCGCGGGACAAGAGAGACCTAGAAGATTTGATGTCGCCGGTGCACTAGGAAAAATGTATTGTTGCGTGAACCAAAATTTTGTTGTAACAACAAAATAATTGGATTAAAATATGCCCGACAAAATTGTTTAGCTCCTGCAAACAAATATCTTGTTTGATTACGGTTTGTATAACGTAATATAATTTTGTTATAGCGACCAAAAAGCTTTAATTAAATGAATTTTGTTAAAAATACTATAATTTTTTCTTAATATATAAAATCTATATGTCAGTGCACACAGAAAGACAAAACAGTAACGGTCCATTGAGTATTATTTTAATTTATATTTTAATTTATATTTATATTTATATTTTAATATATATTATATTAATATATAATTTATTATTTATTATTAATATGTAATTTATTAATATTTCGTTATTATGTAATTTTTATGGATGAAATTACTAAAATGCTTAATTTTTATATACGAAGTCTAAGAACAAAATCATTTGGTTCAGAGGACAAAGTTTAGTTGAGACAACGAAATATATTTTGTTATATAAAACAAGATATTTGGTTGCTATTAAAAAATGCTTCAACTAAACAGTTTTGTTAGAGATACCAAGTTTTTTCCTTTTGTTTTCTGCTTTTTTTACCGTTTGATTGTGCGTCACGAAACGACGCTGGGTTCGTTCTTGTTTCGAGGTGTTTCAAACTCGAGGAAATGATCAAGGAGATTTTTTTTTCAAGGAAAGTGTTTTTTTTTTTTTTTTTATGGAAATACCTCACCGCGTTCTCTTCCGAAGCGGTGAATGCGAGAAAGAAGTGGGGACGCGGATGACTTCGCGACGGAAGAAACTCCGCGGCTCCTCGGGAATCCCCTCTTGGCGCAACGACGACGCCGACGACGATGTTTTGCCGAAAAGCAGTACTTGCTTAGGAACTTTCCTCGTGAATAAATTGTAGATTACGGGTCATTATTTCTGACCGCGCGGTGTTATCGCGAAGACATCGCGCTGCATTTACTTGTGCATTGTGGAGTTGCTAAGCGAAATAATTCTCGCGAGATTGCCTGACGATCTGAATAATACAATTCGTCCACGTGTGGGACGATTCAAACGAGTATATTCTTATACAAGCTAATATTCTTCAAATTATATATTAGCCGCTTCGTTAATGACTTATTTAATGGCGATGCTAATGCGCTCGTTATCGTTATCGCTTCTGAGGAAACTTTTTATTGGAATTATAATCTCATGTGAATTTTTGTGACGTCAATCTAAACTAAGTAATTTTACAATAGATTATAATGTACTTTTGGTTAGGACGGCGTACTTTTCCGAAAATTTCAGTCGGTCGAATTGAGAAATCGCGCTGCACTCGTTCGTTAAATTTGTATCTTCCTTTCGCGGTGCGATAACAATTTCATGGAAAATGCAACTGACTAATAATTCGCAGATACCGCGCCGTAATGAAATGTAATCACTCATCCTGATAAAGAATCGCTGTTCCATGTTTGGAGTGTTTTGGAACGTCTTAAAATATTCCTGAAATCTTGCTGTCGAATCCTAAACAATGAGATAGAATATCAAAGTTGACGGCTGCATTTTGTTCTTGAGAGAATTATTCAGATGACATTTTCTGATGAAGTCAAAACAACAGATTTTTTTGTTAATATTACATATGCCTCTTTTTTAGAAAAGAACTTTGGATGAAGTGAAAAAACAAAACCAGTTTTCGAGACTGAAAAAACGTAGAAGTGTGATATTTTTTGCCTGTTACGTTATTATATTAACCGTTTGAGTCCCAAGCAGCGCGATCGCGCTGTTCAGATTTTATGTCGAGAAAACCCAGTACATTTCGATCATTGTGGACAACTGACGGTGCGTTACCGATTGTCGAAGTCGTGCGCTCAGATTTACTGAAGCAAGTATATCACACCGATCCTTTTAATGTAAATAGTACATTTTATAATAGGTAGAATAATACTATAATAATGCAATAATACATTACAAAATGAAAATTTTTATTTCATTGTTATCTTCTCAATAATTTTTATCGAACAAAACTTGAAATATTTATAAATTTACAGTACGCATATGTAATAATACAGATGTATTTTATAAAATAACGAATTACAAATTAACAATATTTTTGTGTTATGAACAAATAATTTAAATGGAGCGTAACAATTATAATTTGTAACATCGGTGTTTATCAAAACATGTTGGATGGATTCCTTTTGCTTCGTTGCTCCGTTGCTTCGTCTAATCATTTTGAAACACACAATTATTAACAATGAGAAACACTTAGAATACGTCCGATCGCTTTGCAAACTACAATAAATGTGACAGAGCGATGAGAAAAAGACGAGAATCGCGTTACCTAACAAATACAAGAAGCGGTATTGGTCCGATTGGGATTCATCGATGTAAAATAAACAAAGCGCTATCGCGCTGCTTGGTATTTCTCGACTTAAAATAAAACAAGCGCTATCGCGCTGCTTGGGTCTTTTCATACTCATTTATAGAAAGCGCGGTTGCGCTGTTTGGGATTCTTCGACAGTGTTTTTTCAATACCCCCTGGGACTCAAACGGTTAAAGTATGTGCGAAAACAGATATAAATTTTATCTGCGAAATTTTAGCAGCCGAAAAAATAAATTGATTAATAATAAAATATTAGATAATTCGACTCATGTCATGCAACTGGGAAGATTCGATTTGATAATTGGGAGATAAATATATCGGACGATTAATTTAAATGCGTGTAATTAAAATAAAGATAAAGACAAGGAAAGATGCTGGTAAATTTATCGAAGAACACGCTTGAATAGTCTACGAGACGGAAGAAACTCCGCGGTTCCTCGGGAATCCCCTCTTGGCGCAACGACGACGCCGACGACGATGTTTTGCCGAAAAGCAGTACTTGCTTAGGAACTTTCCTCGTGAATAAATTGTAGATTACGGGTCATTATTTCTGACCGCGCGGTGTTATCGCGAAGACATCGCGCTGCATTTACTTGTGCATTGTGGAGTTGCTAAGCGAAATAATTCTCGCGAGATTGCCTGACGATCTGAATAATACAATTCGTCCACGTGTGGGACGATTCAAACGAGTATATTCTTATACAAGCTAATATTCTTCAAATTATATATTAGCCGCTTCGTTAATGACTTATTTAATGGCGATGCTAATGCGCTCGTTATCGTTATCGCTTCTGAGGAAACTTTTATTGGAATTATAATCTCATGTGAATTTTTGTGACGTCAATCTAAACTAAGTAATTTTACAATAGATTATAATGTACTTTTGGTTAGGACGGCGTACTTTTCCGAAAATTTCAGTCGGTCGAATTGAGAAATCGCGCTGCACTCGTTCGTTAAATTTGTATCTTCCTTTCGCGGTGCGATAACAATTTCATGGAAAATGCAACTGACTAATAATTCGCAGATACCGCGCCGTAATGAAATGTAATCACTCATCCTGATAAAGAATCGCTGTTCTATGTTTGGAGTGTTTTGGAACGTCTTAAAATATTCCTGAAATCTTGCTGTCGAATCCTAAACAATGAGATAGAATATCAAAGTTGACGGCTGCATTTTGTTCTTGAGAGAATTATTCAGATGACATTTTCTGATGAAATCAAAACAACAGATTTTTTTGTTAATATTACATATGCCTCTTTTTTAGAAAAGAACTTTGGATGAAGTGAAAAAACAAAACCAGTTTTCGAGACTGAAAAAACGTAGAAGTGTGATATTTTTTGCCTGTTACGTTATTATATTAACCGTTTGAGTCCCAAGCAGCGCGATCGCGCTATTCAGATTTTATGTCGAGAAAACCCAGTACATTTCGATCATTGTGGACAACTGACGGTGCGTTACCGATTGTCGAAGTCGCGCGCTCAGATTTACTGAAGCAAGTATATCACACCGATCCTTTTAATGTAAATAGTACATTTTATAATAGGTAGAATAATACTATAATAATGCAATAATACATTACAAAATAAAAATTTTTATTTCATTGTTATCTTCTCAATAATTTTTATCGAACAAAACTTGAAATATTTATAAATTTACAGTACGCATATGTAATAATACAGATGTATTTTATAAAATAACGAATTACAAATTAACAATATTTTTGTGTTATGAACAAATAATTTAAATGGAGAGTAACAATTATAATTTGTAACATCGGTGTTTATCAAAACATGTTGGATGGATTCCTTTTGCTTCGTTGCTCCGTTGCTTCGTCTAATCATTTTGAAACACACAATTATTAACAATGAGAAACACTTACGCAAGAATACGTCCGATCGCTTTGCAAACTACAATAAATGTGACAGAGCGATGAGAAAAAGACGAGAATCGCGCTACCTAACAAATACAAGAAGCGGTATTGGTCCGATTGGGATTCATCGATGTAAAATAAACAAAGCACTATCGCGCTGCTTGGTATTTCTCGACCTAAAATAAAACAAGCGCTATCGCGCTGCTTGGGTCTTTTCATACTCATTTATAGAAAGCGCGGTTGCGCTGTTTGGGATTCTTCGACAGTGTTTTTTCAATACCCCCTGGGACTCAAACGGTTAAAGTATGTGCGAAAACAGATATAAATTTTATCTGCGAAATTTTAGCAGCCGAAAAAATAAATTGATTAATAATAAAATATTAGATAATTCGACTCATGTCATGCAACTGGGAAGATTCGATTTGATAATTGGGAGATAAATATATCGGACGATTAATTTAAATGCGTGTAATTAAAATAAAGATAAAGACAAGGAAAGATGCTGGTAAATTTATCGAAGAACGCGCTTGAATAGTCTACGAGACGCCACCGCGCGCATCCTCTTTAAGAATGAAACACTACCTTGAAAAATAATCAATCTTATCTCTCCAGCAAATTTTCTCGAAAATAACTAATTAATACTTGAACTTCCCCTATCGGATTATCGAGATAGAATCCTACTTTGTCGATTTTATTCTCAGACACATGTAATATTCAGAAGGCGATAATCTTCCATCCGCTAAAAAAATGAGATAAGACTTCTCGCAAGTATGTCGATATTTGAAGGCGTGAAAGCGAGACAACTGAAGTATCCGCGTCAAATTTACACGAGCATCTGCAAATATTCGGAGCAAGCACTCCGAAAACGTAGCTCTCTCATTGTGTATAATAATCCAGATATAAATTCCTATTTTTAACGTAGGAATATGCCGAAGATAGCACGAGCGTTGCGCGATCTCTAATAACGTTTGATTCTTCCCTGTCCCTTTCTCTCTCTCTCTCTCTCTCTCTCTCTCTCTCTATCTGGCGAAATTCAATCGCCGATTCTCAAGACCGCGATAGATCCGTTTGGCAAACTATTGGTAGGAGCTTCTGCAGCGTCCCACTACAGATTGTTCGTTCCTACTCATTTCGTAAGAATAATTTACAATTGATTGTGGCGAGTTGGCATTCGATTTGTTGACGATCGCGCGATAGTCGAAGAGAAATACATTCTTTCGGTCGAGTCCGGCGAGTATCCATCGCGAGCACTGAGGATGAGGAACGAGTTATTAGGAGAAAAAAGAAAATTCTTCGCGTGTACTTGCGGATTATTAATGCGTGATTTCGTATCATTCGTTTATGCTCTACCAAATGTCTTTTCCACTACCGCGAGCAAGGAGTTATGCGCTTGGCGAAATTCTGGTTCTCTCACGTTCGTTCACTCACACCGATTCAATCGATATACGTTATAGCTCGACTCCATCGGAGCGACAGGGTCAACAAAGCGAAAGCTCGATAATTAGCTTCGGACACTACACGCGTTCAGAGACTAACGAGCGTCTATTAAAGTTCATCGTAGCGTGACACCAGTTGTAAGATCACTCTCGCCGCGAGTGTATCGTCATTGTCAAGAGTCTTATCGCGCGCATCACAAAATGTATAAATATTCCGCGCTCCGGAACTACAACACACACGGCAGTAACCACAGCCGCGTCTCGTGCGAATTTCTGTACCGTCGCGATCATCGCAATTTACCGCGATTGGGAAAGTGGTCGAGCGTGGTTCATTCGAGCGCGGTGATCTCGATCTCGGCGAGTTTTCAAATTTTCCTCGAATAAATCACGCACGCCACTGCAATCTACTGCCGTCTCGACAATCGTCTTCGAGTAGATATTAAAACGGCGACGCAACAATTAACATAAGATTTCTCTTCATGTGTGCGATCGCCGTCGCAATCGCGCAGTGCGTTTATTCCCTTGAACGAGAGACAGCAGCTAAATCGTACGCAAAGTACGCCTCATCGTCGCGCTTAAAAAATCAGGCTCGGAAGTTCAATATAAAAGCTGATGCGGGATCGATACAACTATCGCGTTTGATGACGCTCGCTGCACGAGTCGGCAGGTCTGCGATGCACACTGCGTGAAAAAAAGGAAAAACTCACTTTTGAAGTGCCGCGCGAACCTCAACGATTTGACAGCTTCACCGGGGGTGGTGCTTTCCCTTTGACAGCGATGATATCCACGTGTCTGCTGGTGTCAGCGGATGCCTGTCGCGAGGTGGTCGAGAGCACGTCCGATATTCCGCGGCGGATTGCAGCTCCATCCGTACGCCACCTCGCTTTATGTAACTCCCCTCTCTTCGTCGTTCAGCTGGCCGTGCCGTTCGACCAATCGCGATCATGTCGCACGTCAGGATTCTCTCGCCTTGTCCTGCTCCTGCGGAGCAGCGAGGTCGAGGAACGATAGCGGATACGCGATCGATATCAGCCGGCCACTCGATCAGTCGCCCGCAGATAGCGGGCGCGTTGATTTCCGCGCTGATAATGACCCGAAAAGCGAGGCGATTCGGTCGGTTTGCTCGCGAACGACTCTCGGCCTTGTCTAATCTCTAAGTGACGTTTGGAGACTTGTCGTCTCCAAACGTCACTTACAGATTAGAAGCGGTTGTTAAATGCGGAGCTGCGCGTGCGTGCGCGTGTGTATGTGTGTGTGAAAAGAATACCGTGCTTTCGGACATTACGTTACATAACAAGAACACGTGTGTAAGATCGATGAGATCATTCGGCAATGACCGCCGGTTTCATATCTGACGCACTGTATCGCCTTTCCTGTTCCGTCGAACGCTCGCGTTTTAAGTACGTTGTGTCGTTGAAACCTCGCAGCCTCGTGCTTTTTAATTAGCGCCTGCCGGCCTAATGGAATCGTAGGCTGCGTCGGGAAGACGCTCTCGCGAGACTGAGGAGACATAATGGAGTATCCTAAGGGCGAAATCAAGGCTTTCGCCGTTTAGAGCGAGATCGCTGGAAACTCGATTACAGGCGCGAAATCAAGGAAGCATTCAGCCGGCAAATCGTATTACTCCGGATAAGCTCGAGTCTAGGTCTGATTTCGTGCACGCCCCGCCGCGAGGTCGGGCGTCGGGCCTGACATTCGGCGCTCGCTGTCAGCGCTGACGAGACGAGTCGGCTAATCGCGACCTCGAAGAAGCGGCCCGATCGAAACGATCGCGCGCGCTGCTTCACGTCGTCCCAGTGGCGTGGTACTTACAAACGCAAATCGCTACGCAAATCTTGACGACAATGAGCTTCCTCGAGGAAAAACGCGCGAGATTTTATCCACGCATTCACTCGCTCTCCTTCGTGCATCTCGATCGTAAAATCCTCGCGATTCCTCTCGGAGCGAATTCCCGCAGGCAGAGCTTCCTGCTGAAAAGAAAAGTCGAGTGGAATGACTCTGAACGACGACGGCAAAGGAGAGTTATCGCTGCGTATAATGGCTACGTTCCTGTCCTTTCACCATTGCTAGGGCGGGTGAATAGAATGATATAATAGCAGCCAGATCGCGGCCGATGAAGGCTACGCCATGAAAGTCGGATCTGCAAAACTTCTCGACTCGAGCACCGACTCGATCGGATTCGCCATAAGTTCGATCGGTAGACTTTACTACTACATATTTCCCGGCTAGTTTCCTCTTCACCCTCTACTCTCGTGAAGAAACTTCATATTTTATTATTATTGGGTCAGCGCGAAAATAATTGCGGTTTTTATCATTTTAAATTTGGCGCCGATTTTTCTAGCCACCGTTGTCTTTTGTCACAGTCGTGTGATACATCTTTGTAAACAATGAAGTTGGCACCACTGATTTCAACTTACGTCTGTTGTCTTGAATCTTTAGTTTATTGTTGGATATGATATAACCTCTTAAATTAGTCACGGGAAGAAAGCAAATTCGCGCGATTTCGTTGTATGCAACAAAATACCGCTGCGAAAGTACCGCGGAACGCGGTAATGAAGCAACTTGCCAATCGAAATGGCGGTCGAGCTCTGCCGACTTACTACTGTGATCGAAAAGTAAGGTGAATTTGTTTATAAAATGAAAAATCTTTATTCTTCCAAATCAATTTCATCGCCTTCAAAGTACTCCCCGTCCGACACAATGCACTTGTGCCAACGTTTTTCCCAATTCTCGAAACAGTCAGAGAAGTCTTTTTCCGGGATGGCTTTCGATACCTTCCTCGACTCGGCTTTTATCTCCTCAATCGAGTCGAAACGGTGTCCCCGGAGCGGTCTTTTGAGTTTGTTGAACAGCCAGAAGTCGCACGGTGCTAAATCTGGCGAATACGGTGGTTGTGGAACGATATGGGTCGAATTTTCGGCGAAATGTTCTCGAAGAACCAATGCAGTGTGGGACACTATAATGGGTGCATTATCGTGGTGCAAAAACCAAGAATTGTCTGCCCATAATTCTGGCCTCTTGAGGCGAATAGCTTCACGCATAAACGACGCATAACACTCAGATAATATTCCTTGTTAACAGTTTGGCCTGGCGGAAGAAATTCATAATGCACAACACCGCGATAATCGAAGGAAACTGTCAACATGACCTTGATTTTTGAGCGACTTCAGCGCTCGGTTTTTTCGGTCTTCATCTTTTGCACGATATTCGCTCGATTGGTCGGTTGTTTCCGGGTCGTATGCATAGATCCAAGTCTCGTCTCCCGTAATGATGCGTTTCATCACGTCCTGGTAGTCAGAAATCATTGTTTCACAGATGTCGACGCGACGCTTTTTTTTCCAAAAAATTGAGTGCTTTTGGAACCAATCGAGATTTGACGCGTTTGAGGCACAAAACATCTTTTAAAATGGTTTGGGTTGATCCAAATGAAATGCCCGTAGCATCAGCAAGGTCTCTAATTGTCAATCGACGATTTTCGAACAGCAAATCTTTCATTTCCTTGACGTGGCTTTCATCGATAGATGTTGATGGTCGTCCGGTGCGCTGCTCGTCTTGAACTCGTTCTCGGCCTTCTTTGAAGTCTTTGTACCACTTGTAAACATTTTCTTGCGACATAGCCTTATCACCACCAAAGGCCTTCTGCAACATCCTCAACGTTTCCGCGGCAGAATATTCATTCCGCAAACAAAATTTAATGCAAATTCTTTGCTCAACAAAATCAGACATAGTAAAAATCGAAAACTCACTTTTGTATGTTTACAAAAACACTCTATAGCTCTGCAGCAATTGAATATATTGACATGAAACTCTGCATTGATGCCAAAGACAGTGCTACCAACCCACCAGAAAATAATTTCATGATTTTATAGTACCCGCCAAGTTTAAATGAAAAATTCACCTTATTTTTTGACCACAGCAGTACATCCGGACAAACGCAATCCTTTTCCGCGCTGAGGAGCAAAAGTATCCCTCACGTTCGCGCGAGTGTCAAATATCGGTCAAACATCGAGGAACGATTCCTCGCATGCGTGTCGTTACGTGTCGATCATGGTAAGAGTCGCTCGGCTCGTAATCGCCGACCTCATTAGCCGCGCGACGTCGTGGCACGAGAGGCCCGGAGGACGGTAAATCCCCGGGGACGGAAATGTTAATTCGCCTAGTATGTCCGCCAAGAGGCAGTCGATATAATAATAATCCCGGCTCGGCATAAGAATGCCGAGGAGGGGTAAGAGCAACTCTCAATTGTGCGCGTGCGCGCGCGTGTGTGTGTCGGAGGAAAGCCATTTCCCTCTCCCCTCGAGAGCGGGGAAGAGGGATGAAGTGGCGCACCGAGTGGCGGACCGGAGACTCTCGCTCGGTCGGATTTTCCTCTTTAACCTCCCGCGTGTCGCGGCTCCTTTGGCCCCCCTCCCACCGCCTCTTTCTTTCTTTTTCCTCTCTTTTATTACCGCGCTCCTTAAGGAGTCGACGGCGAACGGAAATGAATGTACTTTTCCCCGATGCACTGTGCCGTCGTCATGGCTACCGTCGGCCACCGGGCTGGAGTGCGATCGTCGGGACTTCCCCGGAGTGTGTCGCTCGTCATATTGGGCCACTTTCGAGCCTAATCGCGCGCAAGTCGTATCCTTGACGCAAGGCGCAAGGAACTCGTCGTCGACAATCGGAGCGGGTAACCTGTGGCTGAAGGTCGCCCGATTCCCTCCCAAGCAGCGGAACTTCGCGCGGTTTTTTCGCGCAATTAACTCGCTTTCGAGTCGGCCTGGCCGTCGCGCGATTTCTTGACGAAGTCTACACGAGAAGAGAGAGAGAGAGAGAGAGATTAAATGCACGTCCTTCGATGGGGGAAAACGCTGTTCTCCCTTACCCTTCGACCGTAATCCGCGTTTACGCAGCGGAACTGTCAGCTGCACAAGAAGCGGACAAAGGCAGCGGAAGCCGAAGAGAGACCTGACGTCGCCGTCAGTGCGCGAGCGTGTGTATTCAGCATCCGGGCTGGACGGGTGGTTCTGACGTGTCGCTTGTGTCGTCACGCACGAAAGCTACTAGATAGAGGCGAGATTTCGTGCAGTCCTGAGGAAGTCCTTTTTACGACGTACAGCGTGCCTGTAGCGCGATAAATCGCACTTTCAACAAGTGCACCTGCGATCAGAAGATCGATCGAAGATCCCGCTGATCGTCGTATCTCACGAGGGAGGCCTCGCCTGCCGGAGGAAATCAATGCTCTCGAGCTGGGGGAGGGGGGGGGGGTATCAGCCCGCGGGAAACCGAGCGTCTTATACGCGGCGCCACTCGTACAACCGCCCTCGACAGCGGCCAGAGGAAAAGCTATCGCTAAATGCAATGCATTATGCATGAAGGCTCCGAGATACGAGCCCCCGGAAATTTATTTCAGAAAGTATAAACGCGGCTGCCGCGAAGAGAAACGACCGGCCTCTTCCCTTTTGTCGAAGCGTTACATCTGCACCCCCCGTGTCGGACTCGCCCCCGGCCGGCGCGAGAGACGCGACTTTCGCTCGCGGCGAGATCTTTTCGGCGGCCGATCGCCCTCGAATTCGTTGCTCGTTGAAATTTTGTTTCCATTGGTCGCCATTTGTCCGGGCTAGATTAGCCCGGTGTGAAGGGCTACCGAAGAGAGGAACGGAAGAAGTCGGACGAGAAGAAGGTAAATCGCAGCGGAAAGCTCGATGGGGAAGGACGCGGACAAGAGAGTTCCATTAAGCCGCGACGCGCACTGTCGGAAGCACAAAGAAGTACATGCTTCTTGATTTAAGAGGGAGAACGGCCAAAATGAAGTTGAGCGAGCTCGCGGTATCGCGCTCGCAGCAAATCATCACCGCAGATCCCCTCCCCTCTCTCCCTTTCTCATCTTCGACCTAGCGGATCGTTCGATATCCCGACAAGTCGTTCAACGCCCCGCGATTGATCGTCCCTCTTGCGCGAAAGTGTTCGCACGGGCAAACTGACGCAATTAAACGTAACTTTATCTGTCCCCTCTCCTCGCCCCTTTCTTCTCCTCGCTCGAGTAAGTTTAAGGAGAAATTGGATTCGTTTCTGGAGGAATTCCTCCGACGAAAAGGGAGGAGAAGCACAGGAAGGCGACTCTCGACTGGTTAACTCGTGTTAACAACGACGACGCCGGCGATTACCCGCGGAAAAATCGAGCAAGCTCGGTGACGAAACAGACGCGAGAGGGACTTGACGTTCGCGGCGATCGACACGATCGCTTCGTAACCTGAGTGCTCGATGTCCGTGCGTTGAGAGAGAGAGAGAGAGGTGTATTATGATAAATTAACAGTCGGAAGACAAGTTGCACCTTCGACACGGTGATTGACGTTCGCTGCCGACGCAACATTCGATCGACGTGGGAGAACCTTCAGGCATCGGCGTGTCTGCCCGCGTCGTTGACGTCAAAAATGAGATATTAACCAAAGAGCTCGGTAAGCTCGCTGAAGAACTGTACGCGCGACGCGTGCATCGCAGGAGCGTCGTCCTTTCATGATACCGTTCTCATCACGATGCAAGGTTCGTTGCGTCGCCCGCGAGAACGGCGATAAGCGATTTTCATTCCCACGACGTACGCTACTTGCATGTCCGTTATCAGCCCCGTGAAAATGTCCCATCCATCGAAAATCTCCTTCATTACCACCTTAATCTAGTCCAAAGGACAGCAAGTGAGCGAGTAGGGCGATAAGGAAGAGCGCGAGGAAGAAATTCCCTCGCGAGGAGGCGCATTACGTGCAAACGTTGAAGTAAATATTCGCGTAGATGGTTCTCTCAGAAGCGTCTCCTCCTTTCCAGGTACAGCCGATCCACATTTCACCTCGAAATCGTAGCGAGATTATCACAGGCACAGGACTCGTGCGAACAGAGAGAGAGAGAGAGAGAGAGAGAGAGAGAGAGAGAGCGATCGGTTGTTGAAGCTCGAAGAGGTTGGCGCGTACCGATTCGGGATGGAAACGCTGAAGTATTACGCGAATTTCGTGGACCCTCACTGGGTAGCCATGATTGCGACAGGACTGTACACGCATCTTCGACAAATCTGCATAATCGGCCTGTGCTTCAAGGAGAACCATCTGCCGTTCGACCCGTCGTACTCGTCGGTGCTTTTCGTGTTCTCGGTGCTGTGCCTCTTAGCGGAATACAAATTATGGCCTGTAACTCTCAAGGAGCCACCGATCCACCTGATGTATATCTACGAGGTGAGACCCTTATTCGAATTCCCCTCGACTCGTATGTTCCTTCGTAGATTTAAATAAGGAAGAGGGAGAGAGAGAGAGAGGGTGAGAAGAGAAAGAGGAATGTTAATGTATGGTCAGGTTGATTGATTGTTGATTGATAGAGCGCAGTTCCCGCGAGCCGACGAAAGCGCAATCACTCATCGGACATTTTCGCTTTGTCATGCAGATGTTGGTAGCTGCATTGAGCACCAATTTGGCGATCGATATCATATGGACACCAATGATGCACGCGATCTATTGTCTAACTCAAGAATCCAGTAAATGGGTGCGTCAAATAGGAACATAACATTATCCCCCTATATAACATTCCCTCCTCTTGGGCTTCGGCGTGATCCCGTTGAACAGTTGAACATGAAGACGCTCTTATCAATGTACAATTCCCGTCGATTCCATAAATCGATGTTTAACTCATTGGATCTGGTTGACATTCCTTTCTTTTCAAGTCCATCGCGACCCTTGGTCGATCGGGTAGAACTGCACGACGGGATTCCCCTCATGTTAAGTCGTGGAACTTGCCCGAAATTCGGCGTTTTATTCCAGCTGTTTTGGCTGAACTCCACTTTGGGTCTGGATAGTTACTCCTGGTTGACTTTGTTCGCGGATTACATGGCCAAGGAGTACGCGGCCATGCAAATTGCGTATTGCACGTCGTTGTTGTCGTTCGTATGGATGCTGGATGCGACCGAATCTGTGGAGACGTTCCTGGACATGTGGAGCAAGTAGTGAATCCTGACAAACAACTCCAAATCTAATCCGCAAAACCGCTCGACATGTAATGAAACCATGTGATGCAACCTTTAACGATTAACGAGTGCATAACGCCGTTTTCATGTATAACGAGTGAAAGAAGCCTCGGGATATATTAATATTACAGTTAAATGTAAAACGGAAGACTTCCCTCTCGATGCAATTGCGCTCTTATTAACATTCTGTCTTTTCGTCCTTCGTAAGTTCTCCGCAACCCGCGGGTACCGCAAGCGGCCGTAAACGCAAGAGGATCACTTTTAGCGATCCGGAAGTCACCCAATGGTTCTTCTACAAACTTCGTCGGATGATGCCGTTCGTGACAAATCGTGGTGGTTGCAGCTTCTCGTAGTCCTCAACGTCGTATATATTTATCTTGTTTACGTCCTTGTGTATTTAATAAATGCTTGCTTGCAAATATTGTACTTGTATCTAATTACTTGCGTGGTAGCACGCAAGAATGTGGATATTCTTTGATTTGCTTCTAATAAAAAATATATATTTTTATTTTAACGAGCTCAAAGCGGAAGCTCTCAGAGAATGAGATATTACCGGTAACTGCCGTGACCTATATATGTCATTTTTCCACTACGCGGGAAGTAGAGAAGAATTCGGCATTATTTCAATTGAGTGAGTTTAATGAGAAATCGACGGAACCTCTTGAGAGTTATTCGCGCGGCTGACTTCACGCCGAACTTTGGCAAGAACATCGATTGTCAGGAACCAATATTCGTGTCTCATCATTTAAAAACCAGCTGTAATTAACCAGCCCAAATTAAACCAAGTCTGAATGGCCAAATTGCCGCTATTTAGCAAAGTTGACGACGCTGGCGAAATTATCGGAAAATGGCGCGTTTGTCATACACGATATGGGCGTTGATGCTCTACAGCTTAGACATGCCGATCTTTCAAACGTGTTGCGCGGACTATATAGAGGACATATACGGCGAACCTCTGTTATCGAGTTCGCTAATTACCTCACTTTTAATTGCGGTAAGCGTCTACGTTATCGTCGTGAGTCGTACGATATTTCCCGAGTCCTTTCGAAAACCAAAGCCTGTCTTTATGGGCCTGTACGAGGTTAGTGTGTCAACGAGCATTCTCATCAGCATCTTTGACGTATTTTTACGAGTATTTTAATCTCTTTTACCTTTTTATATTCTCATGTCCTTTCCGTTGTCTTATCTTGGTCTTTTTTTATTGCAGTTCTTCGTAACAGCGTTCTTCATAGAATTCGCAATTTCCTGTGTGTGGACACCGATAGATTTTCTCGTCAGATTCACTTTACCGAAAAAAATATGTCACGTAACGTAGCGACTCTCTCTCCCTCTCTCTCTCTCTCTCTCTTTCGTCGATCTGAGTTAATTTTAATACTACCAGCAACACCTTAACACAGAGCAAAAAAATTTCTCAGAGGCATTTTGACATTATCTTGCCACGTAGACGGAGCTAATTTACGTCGAAGTTCACGCTTATCGAAATTTTTCGTTCGTGCAGACGCTCATTCGATTGGGATTTGAAGATGCCGCTGAGGCGGTGAACGCGAATAAATCGTCCGCGGCAATTCTCACCAACGGAATAGTCGCGACGTTCCTTCTGACGACTCTCCATGTCACGAGAGCTGTAGATTTCAAAGAGCTAACGTGAGTTTGGCATATCCCTTCCAGCAGACCTTCCAGCCTACTTTTGCACGGGCTGCGCTTTTCTTTCAGCGCAATCATTACCGCTGTTATCGTTGATATTAGAGTAGGTCGTAGCGTTATCGATGACATTATGCAGTCGCGAGTGACAGAATATGAATTCTACATTTCGAAAATAGCTTGAGGTGTTATGTATTTTTACATAAAATTCGACGTGTTGCTTTTTGATATGCATGCATGCATGCATGCATTTATAATTCGCACAAATCAGTCAATCAGTCCTCCGAAATTTAGGGACAACGGAGCGAAGTATTTCTTGTCGCACTCGCTCGAGAGACTCTGGCAACGAATACGCAGCGAATTTCATAAAGCCAACGAGGAAGAGAATTGTCGTTGCAACCATCGCGGAACAAACCGTAGCAAAAATCGCACAAACAACCGTAGATTATATCTTGACGACGTGGACGATTAAGAAAATTCGAAGAAACTGCGCGAAAACGATTATCGGACTTTATCCAGAAAATTTTTTTAATTTCGTTTACAACGACGAAGAAGCGGAGGAGCGGGGAGAGGGGGGGGGTAGAATGCCAATCTCTCTCGAATGAAACATCCGCCTTCCAACGCGTTGTCGTCGCATCTCTCGGCCGTTTTTATGAAAAAGAAGGCATTTATTTCGTTCGAACTGAAGTGTAAAGTACAAATGGTATATATAGATAATATAGTGGTAATAATGTAATAATTATAATCGTTAATAAATATCAATTCAATTAATAATACGGTGTGTCCCAGTATACTGCGGATTATTATTATTATTATTATTATTATATATATATATACGGTAATTGTACTAACGGGATGTGTTCAGTGGCAGCGTTACATTATGTAATAATATGTTTATCTTACAGTGATTTCTCTCTTTTCGTCAACCGACAGATAAAGCCTTTTCTCTTCTTCTCTTTCGCTCTACAATCGTTTCTCTGTACCTTTCTCTCTCTCTCTCTCTCTCTCCTTCTCTTTCTAAAAGAACACCGATACACGACACTGATAGAACACCTCTTTCCAAAATCAGATCGCTGAAACGCCGATTACCCGTTGAGCTTTAACGGGCATATTATATTTCAAACGTCCAATTGCTTACATTTTCCATCAATTTCTACATTGCAAAATGTAATTTTCTTCGGATTCAGAATACACTTTGCATTTATTTCGCTTCACGTTTCTGTCTCAGAGACGAAAATTATGTAAAAGACTGATTGAAAAAAAAGAAAAGGAATTTTCAATTATATTACTCTAGACTAATTAAAAATAAGAGATGAGGGAATTCTTTTATACAACTCGTCTACAACGTTCTTTGAAATGATTCGGTAACTCGTACAACTTTGAAAGGATAATCGGTAATTGCTTTTTAACTGCTCATTTAATACGGTGATAACTGAAATTTATGTTTCTCTTTTGTAAAAAGGTACTTACGCCTCCATTACCCTCGTATGAGGCAAACGCTCAGTTTACATTTCTTTTTTTTTTTAATTACTTAGATGTGGCATAAAAGTTGACTCTGAAACTTTCTGACTTTTTACTTATAACCATTTAGATTATATCTGTATAGTTATTTTCTGAATTATGTTAATACAATTTTTTTAATACGAGAAAACTAAAATTCGTTTTTTTAAACGAGGGCAATGGAAGGTTAAGTAAAAAGGATGAAGAAATTTTTAATTGTACCACTAGTTTAGCTAGGAAAAGCTAGAAAATTGCTTTTTAACAGCTCATCTCTAATACGGTGATAACAAATTTGTATTTTAGATAAAAGTTACGTTTTTGTTTAAAAAAAAAATAATTATCTGAAGCCAAAGTTGGCACGAGCGAAAGTCATTACTGGCAACGATCGAACGAAGGAGGAGGTGTTCTCGTCATTGTCCTGTATGAGATGTGCGGACTAGTGCCGTTTTCTATTTCTGTTCATTTTCGCACACTTCCAACTTGTCCCTCGTTATCCTTCTCCTTGAAACTGAACGGAATTCGGTTAATGTTAATTATGTACGAGTTCGCTCGCGCTCGGCCCTGTAGTACCCCGTTTACAAAGTATCTTTGTGCACGATCAGGCAGTGCTTAAAAAAGATCGAGGATATGTCGGATGAGCGTAATCATTTTCTTCCCGTTTTGTTGTTTATTGCATCGATTGCGGCGGTCGATAAAAAAGTGTCGAGAGACCGGCGCCGGTCTCTCGGTAAAACGTACGAGATCTTTGTCTCTTCTTCTTTTTCTCAAAAAATACCATATAAGTACGCGCTTAGACGGTAAGTTCCCAGTTTTATGTAGAAAGTCACGGGACTAATTCCAACTAATTCGCCTTCGCTGTTTGTAACGAACGCCCGAAGCCAATTTCTAAGATCGTACGCGCGGATGATGCAAGCGTATGAGGCTAATCGCGAGACTTCGAGTGACTTGAGTGAGCCGAATCCTTTAATAATATATTAATTACGTTAATTCATCGCGACGATCGCCGGAATGGACTCAAGGAACGTATCGTTGCTCTCTCGCCTTCTATCCCTCTAATTTCCCTCCTTCTCTTTTCTCTCTCTTTTTTTTTTCTTCACTTCCCCTAATTGAATTCTATGATACTTCTCGACGTGCTTCTTCTTTTTTTCCCTCCGTAACTCACGTTCCTTATCCGCCGTACAGCTTTAACGACGTCGGTTGAAAGTAAGTACGAGTTAAGTCAGTCGGTCGTAAATGAAATCCTCGTGAGTGTGAGCGTTTCTTGAGCAACAGTCGACTTGTCTGCTTCATGGGCGTTTTGAATCTAGCACGGGAGTGGAAACCGTCGTAATAAAAATTGAGCTCGACTCTCGACGCTACGGTCGCGGGAGAAACGCAAACTGACGCCCGAGTCATCGAGTTTGACGAATAACGCAACTTGGATCGCTTGGGGTGGTGGATTGTTTTCACGCGTCGCTCGAAGATGAAACACTCGAAAGGCGCCGGAGAGACATCCGAGAGATGTCTTCCTGAATGTCCTCAGCACATCTTTCGGACTTCCGTGCCGTTTCTCGTGTCTCGATCTCGACTCGGTTTCGATCTCTCGTCCGCGCGGATTTCTCCAGCCACGTTTCCAGAAGCTCAAGGGTTCCGCCTCTTGTCGTGCGTGTTTCACGGCTGACGCACGCGCGTATTCGCGCAACTCTCTGCAAAATTTTCACGCGAGACGACGAGGTGCACGGGTCGAGCGAACGGAGAAGACTTCGAGCCTCGTCGATGCGCGGACACGCGACCGATCGCCATCGCGAATCTACGAGCCTCGCGCGTGAAACGGACGTTACGCGAACTCGCTCGGTCCGATCGAATGAAAATTCACGCGATTATGTCGATGCCTCAATTCGAGTTGATCGATCTCGAACGGTTCACAGCGCGAACTGCTGGACCCGCTCGGTATTCAACAGCCGGAAGGTTCCTTTCGTGTTCCATTCGTCGTCCGATTTCTCTCGCATTGCTTTACGTTCAAATCGAGAGGACGAGGATGATCTTTTCTTCTCGTCTGTTTCCCTCCACATTGATCCTCGAGTCGAGCGTGCGATCGATCGCGTCTCACCGACGTTGTACGCTCGTTTAATCAAACTGCCTTATTTTTCCCTTTTTCTTTTTTCTTTTTTCTTTTTTTTTTTTTGCTGTTTTTGCCACTGCACACACGCGACGCGCGCTCGCGCGCTACTCAATACAGTTATTCAACGATAATCCTCTTTCGTCCTTCAATAATCCCATTCAAATACTATCTCTGCTTAGAATCTACTTGACGGAGGGAGGGGGGGAGGATCGAGTTGATGATAGGAATGTGTGGAGAAACTAAAGGATCTAAGATGAACGGTGGGCTTCGATGAGTGACGAACGCGCGGGCACCGAGAGTTTACGAATTCTCCTCGAGCGAGACAGAACAATCATCTCGGGTGTCACACGAGTCCCGAAATTGACCGAAATTTCGACAAGGAGATCCCCCTCTGGAATTCCTCCGCAAACCTTCTTCTATAAGTCTATAAAAGAAAAAAAAAAGTCTATTAATATATCCGTCGTCGTCTGACTCGAATCCTTCGATTTGTCAAATCGACTGATCGATTCGCGAGTAACGGTTACTGCTGAATTTATCGCTCAAAGTAAAATTACGCGCAATGACCCGGCAATCAAATTGCGCAAGATATTCGTTGTAATTTGAGGGAAATCACCAGTGGCCGCGAAGATGTGTCTACAAAAAAGACGATCTCAGTGTCCTGCGAATGCTCAGACTTGCGAATCGCTCGGTGCTCACGGTCCTCAGGAACAACGATAGCACGCGGGACATGTGTGAGTGTGTGTGTATGTGTATGTATGTGTGTGTGTGTGTGTGTGTGTATATATATATATATATACGTCTGGGAGTATACGCAACTTAATATCACAAATTCGTTGAAAAACCATACGCAAACACGATCATTGATCGTAGGACAATTATACAGCGATGCGCAGTGACGCTGATGACGCCGGCACACTCATACACATGTTAATTACAATATTCGTACAAGTGCTTATTTAAGACGTTACTTAAACGCCCACTCCACGGCCCTAACCGGTAAATTGACTATTAATATTCCCGTTGAGAATTTTACAGGTTTTCCAGCCGGGGCTCGAGTGCGTGGAAGGTTGCGCGAGAGGCGCGTCGACGACGTGCCGCCGCGATCGCGCGTGCACGAGGACGATCGGCGTCGGGGAGCTCGGCGAGTGTCGTTTCATCGGCCGGCCGCGTTCATCGACTCCGGTTAACTCCGGTGGCTGCGACCAGCGGCTCTTCTTTGGCGCGTTTTCTACATAAAAAATACTAAGTATTCCTCTCGCATCACAGCGGACTGAGAAACTGATCGATTGACTGAGACTCCATTCTTCCGCTTGTCGCGTGAGATTCCTTATTTCTTCCTACACGGTACTTCTAACTATGTTACACACAGGATGCTCTCTCCATGCTCATCGTGATCTCCTCTTTGTGTGTCTGGATTATCGATCGGTAACCGATCGGTCTCGAGAGTGATCGACGCGATTGTTTCTGACTGTCGCTGACTGAATGTTCATCAGCCGGGAACGGAATCGCGACCTCTGCGCGGCGCGTCTCTCGATATTGCCGTATAAACGTGAACGTGAACCAAATTATCTCTTTTACTTCTTTTAACGACGCATCGTCGAGTCATTCGGCATGACTAGAACACGGAATCCTGCCACGTTTCCTTCTCTCTCGCCTCTCTCGCTTCCTCGTGCACGCGTATTTCGCGCGTACACCCCCGCGTCGTGTTCTCTTCGCGCCCCGAATCCTCCTCTTCCTTCTCGATGACGTAAAATAAATATTAAAACTATATCGAGATATCAACGGTGAGCATAGTTTTTTTTTTCTTTCTTTTAGCGATGCGAATCTCATCTCTCGTGTTGTCTGTATGTTCGTACGTGTCCTCTGTATATATATATATGTATAATATATATTTGTATTTATATTTATATATATATATATATATATTTATATTTGTATTTATATTTAGACTTTATATCCGCTATATTATAATTATAATAATTACATTACGCGCGCGCGCGCGGTAACTCGTGCTCTCTTCTCTCTTCGTTTCTTTCTTTTTAATCTTTTCTCGGACTTTCTCTCGTAAATTACGATTAATCACTTTCCCCTCTCTCCTGTCGCGTCTCGTGCGCGCCTATATAAATTCATATTTATAATATATATATATATATATATACATAGATATATATATATATATATCATAATGTTCAATATAGTAGTAGTAATGCTATCACTGAGGATGACGATGGCGACGATGAGGATGGCTCCCGACGTCGCGACAACTATATATATATATATATATAACGATACCTTAACGATAAACTTCTATTATGGCAGACTATCTACGGTAGGATCGTTCGTCGAGAACGAGAGAGAGTACGCTGCGCGGTTACAGGACTCCTTCGCGTTCAGGACAACGAATACTCGTCGAGGATACGTCCCGTGGGACTCGTGCAGAAGAACGAAGAAACGAATGGTATCCGCCGTGAGCGGCGAATCGTGTCGCCGAGAACGATATCATCGTGTCAATGTCGCGTGTCTATATGGTGTCTGCATGTATACGTATATGTCCGTTACGCGTGTACGTGTGTATCGTATATGTGTGCGTTTGCGTGTGTCTGAATGCCCATGATTACCGTCGTTACAACACATCTAACGCGTTCGTCCGATTCGCGACGATAAATAAATAAATAAACGATCCCGCTGTGCGCGAGGCGACACGCCGATCTACGATCCGACACTGACGACAACGACGCGATATATACTTATACGTATATATGTATATTTGAGTGTATGCGTGGAGATAGTTTTTACGGTGACCGATGAGCGAAACCTACGCGACCGGGGAGGGTGGTATCCGTTAGAAAAAGTCTCGCGCTTATCTTTGGATTTCACTACGTTTTTACGTATTACGTACTATACAGATAGGTAATGCGACTTGTCTCCCTCTCTCTTGTCTCGTTATATACCACCTCTACGTGTATCATCGCATTATTGCAACGTTCGTTTTGCACCTTTGACCCTCGGCAGGGTCCTTTCTCCCGTTTGAGTGTGTATATGTGTGGGTGTCTAGGTGTGTAGGTATGTTGTGAGTGTGTGTGTGTGTGTGTGTCTTCCCTCGTGTACACGTGCGCACCGCGGGTGACACGACGACGCGTCACGTGTCTTATAGTACTTTCACTAGACACACAACGACTACGAGGAAGCTGTCTCTCCCTGTCCCTTGAGAACTCGTCACTCTCGGCCGAGGGAGGTGCGCCCTCCGTCCTTCGGGATCTCCTGGATAGTTCGCGATGGATTCCCGGAGCCGATGTGACGGCCGTCATCAGGTCGTCTCGGTTGAGGTCGCACGAGCACTCATTCGGATGATATGGATCGCGTGACTCGATGCGGTGCGGTGCGGTGTGGAGGCTCAGTTGCGGTGTACTCGGCGCTGATTAGTCCTCCTCCTCGCTCTCCTCCGCGGGCCCGTACATGTCGGCCAGTTTGTCGAATCTGGGACCCCAGGCGCCTAGGTACTGGTACTCGTGTTGTTCGTCGTCCGTACCTGAAGAAGAGCGGGGAAGAGAGAAAGGCAATTATATTACACCGATCTTAGTAGAGTCGCCAAGAGTGACCAGCAAGAAAAATTGAGATGAGAGTTGAATTTTCGACAATAATTTCTCGACAGAGAGAGAGAGAGAGAGAGAGAGAGAGAGAGAGAGAGAGAGCAATTTCTTCAAGATAGCCAGACACTAGATTCTTCCTTGTAAAGTGCCGTCAGTCAATCGAGAAAATCGAGCCATCGCGGAAATTCCTCTCGCAACGTACCGGAAGCTAATGATGACAGAGAACCCGCGGTGCTTCCGCCGCCTTCATACGCGTAATTTCGTAAATCGTCGAAGGGAGGTGCGTTCGGGTCGCTGTCAGCCCTCTTCTTGTGATCCTCGATGAAGATGCCGACGTTCGGCTCCGGTCCGAGCGGATCTGAAAGATAACGTTCGTGATCGCTCATGGGCTCTCGCGAGATTTTCGTGGCGAGTCGAAATAGACATAACGTACAGGTCACTTTGCACGGCGGCAGCTTGCCGCCCATTTCCGGGATCGGACCGCCGATCGGGATCTGCAGGGGTGTGATGTCGAACGCGGTCATGTCGTCCTCTCCGCCGCCCTCGTCGTCGTAGTTGATGATGTTCTCCCTCACGTCGTCGTCCGGCCCGGGATACTTTATATGCGCCTCTCGTCTTCTGTTGTAAACGACGAACACCAACACGAGCACTGCAATATCGACGTCGATTCAGCATTGCCGTAGTCGTTGGGCTGATCGTTATCAATGTTCAAATAATACTTCTCTCTCTGATGGGAATTCAAGTGCGTGCAAAGTGTAACAACGGCCCAGCGCGAGCAGTGCGTTCTACAGTGTGACGTTGAAATGTACAAAGTGGGTGTCAGTCTTATCAGTTGGGCGTAGGGGTATCGAAACAAAAGCTTGCCGAGGAGAAAGGGTGCTACTCGAAGAGTGCGCCGCCCTTCGAATTAGTCGTCGTAGGGCGAAACGCCGGTACAGTTTCAGGATAGTTTACGGATGCGGGGAGTAAACAGCGCAAAGATAAAGGAACGAAATAAAGAAACGTGAGGTCTCGTAGTAAAGCTGGTTATATATTTCGGTTATTACTCAGTCACCTGTTTGTTACAAAATAGCCAACTGAAACATAATGAAACGTGCACAAACGTAAAATGATATAATAATGTTTACCGTGGTGTAATAATAACAGAAGTGGAAACGAGCATGCACGTAAAACGATATACTCAACTTCTAACGTTGCAAAATATTCGACAGCAATCTTGAGGCGTATCTTCGCCATATATGTCTAGAATACTAACCGAGTATGATGAGAAGGCAGACGAGGATGGCCGCCAGTGCGCCCATGCTCAGCTTGAGCGTTTGTCCTTCCTGGACCAGCTCGCAGTTCTCACCCCAGAAGCCGTCGGGACAGATGCATCGGTATCGGAATCGTGGGTCCTGATTGATGCACCTGCCACCGTTCAGGCAGGGATAATCGATGCACTCGTTCTTGTCCATACAACCCTTGTTGTCCGGCGACGGGATTCTTCCCTCTCCGCAACTGCGTCCGGCAGATTACGATATATTCTTCCCGAAGATACGCACCGTGCGATAAATGGATACTCACGTGCAGTCGTACTCGTTCCAAAGATCGATGCATTCGAAGGGGTCCTGGCAGATGACGTTGGCGCATGGTTTGTTCGACGGACAGTTCCTCTCCAGATTCCGCGCCATCGTCGCCTGGCCCCATTGGGTTCCGTTCATGGCAGGAGGTAGAGGAAGGTGTTTCCCTTCTAATCTTATGTCGTCCAAGCATCCTGAAAGGGGAAACACTCGAAACATTCGGGAGGGACAGGAATAATATAGCGGAATAATATAGCGATTTGATTTTTTCAATTTTTCCGGAGATACATTGCAAAGAAAAGGATCTCAGCTTTTACGTCTCATTCAATATCACGCTTACAAGATGAAAAACTATATCTGTCCTAAAGTCACAATTAATCATACAAGTCATTACGAAGTATAAGAACCGATATTTTTCAGCGCAACGATCTAACGATAGTTTCGCGCAGAAACTTACCTTTCTGATAATCCGCGTAAACCTCAAACGTACGAACGCCAGTGTATTCCGCTTTACCGCCCGCGTAGACTCCTTCCTGCTTGTCCACCAAGAGCCACTGATGGCCTTCGAAGGAGAAGGTCTCGTTGAATCTCCGTCCCTCGCCACCGTCCAGTTCCAAGGTCGCCGCGGACCCGTACCTGGACACTCTCACCGTATGCCATTGTCCATCGTCGACGGCTATCGCCGAGAGCCAGATGTCCCGCTCCTCCGTCCTAAGACTGTTCAGATTATATCTGAAGTGCAGTCTGCTGTCTTTGATCTAGAATCACATCACGAGTAAGCATCGCACGATCAGTTGACGTTGTATCTAGAATAGGTAGAAACACACACTCTCTCTCTCTCTCTCTCTCTCTCTCTCTCTCTCTCTCTCTCTCTCTCTCTCTCTCGGAACGAGCACTCACCTCCAAGATGGCGTACTCCCTGTTGTGCTGGTCGCTCACTCTGAACAGCTCGCCGTGGATCTCCCGAGTACGGAATCTCAGTTGTACCTGGGTCGAGTACTTGTCGGGCTCGAAAGACAACGCGTACTTGGCGTAGCTCTGAGGCTTGAAGGTGGTCGGGATAGTCGGTGTCATGCAGCCTGGACCGGTCCAGCCGGGATTGCACTGGCATCTCGCCTCGGTGAAGCTACCTACGCAGGTGCCGTGCTCCCAACAGCGGAACGTCGACTCTTGGTTGTTGCAGATCTCCTCGGTCTGGGGACAACCGGCGACGCTGTTCCGCGACAGGCCGGGGTGAGCCAAGTCGTACAGCTTGCTGTTGTGGAAGAGATTCTTGATGCAGCCGTCGAAACCTTTGCCCACCGGCATGTGCTTCCACTTGTAGTGCGTCGGGTCGAATTGCTCCACGTAGAGGCCACCGATCTGCAGTGGCGCGTTTACGTTCAGGTACTCGTTGAACGGCGGCACCGTGCCCTGAGCTTGGCAACTGGTGTCGTTAAACTCTGGCGGACTGCCGTCCTCCAGCTCGGATATCTCCGCAGACTTGCAGTAGTCGATGATGAGCTTCACGGTCTGCGACGAAAATGTGAGCTTTGCCGTCGGAATGCAGTGTGCTTTCGCGAGGAAGAAAAAAGTCGAGACTCACCTCCGTGTTCCAGAAAATGTCGAGTCGATGCCATTCGCCGTCGTCCAGGGTTTTCTTCGGTTTCACTTTCAGCTCCAAGGTGCCGGATCCAAAGTCAATCAGCAGCCTCGGTATACCGCGTTCCAACTCGACCGAGATGAAATCTGTCGGCGGATTGACGCAATAAGATTATTCGCGCGCGCGATTATTCAGACACACCCAGTCGTCGTTGTTTTACATAAAGAGGTCGTTACATAAAGTGGTCTTACCGGAAACCATTATCTCGTCGGATTCGGGAGGAACGATCGGGCCGTTATACAACAACAGCCCGTCGGACTTTCTCGTGATAAACTCGAAGCTCAGGTGACTGTTGTCGCACATCTCCAAGGCGGGGTACCATGCCCAACCGTTGCCACGGAAGCTCCTGGCGGTTTGTTGACACCTCGGTCCGTTGTAACCGGATGGACACTGACACCTGGAGTAGTAAAGCAGGAAGCTGTCGTGTCAGTTCGATTTGAATCAACATGTCTCATGAAGAACAGTTTGAAGAACAGTTTTGAAGCTTTATTTTAATTTAGTTTTTCTCCTTTTGAGAAAAGAGAGAGAGAGAGAGAGAGAGAGAGAGAGAGAGAGAGAAATCAGTTTTTTAGAAAATGTTTCGCTTCTTTTGATTTGAGAAATTGTCTTAAACTCCTTATTTAATTATTATAAGAAACAAGACGGTGTCTGAGAGAAGTCTCTTCCGTGAGGATGAAGTTTGTAGAGACATCGAGAGAGACGCGAAATTCAATGAAATCTTTACTCACGATAAACCGAAGCGATCCTCCACGCAACGTCCGCCATTGTAGCAGGGGCTGTTCCTGCAGGACTCGCCCTTGCTAAAGTTTCGCGCCCCGCAGGTACACTCGGCTATCACGTCGACACGCACACCGACGAGCGCGGTCCTGTTCGCGTTCACCATGTACGGCAAGCTGCTGATGTCGAGGGTGTTTGTGCAGCTGCCCTCGCACATCTCGTTCTCGTAGTAACACTCGTCGATGCCGACCATAGTTATATTGATGCCCACGTCTTTCTCGATCTGTCGGTCGGGCGATTTCATTAGCGCGATTATTTTACTGGTGAATCTTAATCCAGAATTCGGAATCTGTTTCTCAATGAAACATCTTGGCGATATTTGACGTTTACCTCTTCGCGGTGCATCAGGACGATGCCGTTGAGCCTGACCGGTTTATAGTACAGCGAACCGTGCGCGGCGAATCTGACATCCGTCAATGGTGGATGCATCCTCCTCAACTGCACGCTGAAGACGTCCACGTTGTCTCGGTCTATGTTCAGCAAGTGCGACAGCTTGTCCCTAAACAGGTCCACTTTGCTTCGACTGAGTGTTTGATTCTGAAAATCAAGCAGACTCTGTGTCACTTTTCTGTACTCACGTCAGTTCTCACACGTGTCTTGTACAATCCTTGTTCGAATCGAAACACAAAATCGATGGAAAATCTTGTTCACCCCACCTGATAGTTCCAGACACGGATAAAGTCTTCATCCGTTATCCCGGATATCCGAACCGAGCCCGAATTCAGCACCGCTTCGTGCGGGATGCTCTTGACGGTGACGGTCACGTTCGCTGGCACGTCCGTCTGCGTGTGCTTCCGGTCGTAAACCTTGAACCGCAGATGATACTTGCCGTCGTGCGTGCCCGATTTCATGTAAATCATGCCCGTGTCCTCGTCGAGCTTAAATTGGTTGTGCTCCAGTCCTTCCCAGTAGAACTTTTTATCCGGCAGATCCCAGTCGTCCAGATCGTACACGTACACCCTACCTATCTCGGTGTCGGGCGATTGTCCCTGAAAATTCATCGCATGTCACACTCCATCGCGCCGGTAAATCTGTCCAGAAACCGCGACAAGCGCAAGTGACGCGCGCGAGTAGAAGAAATTGGAATCCCGTTCGCACAATCGTTCACTGCTGCGCTGATACTCACTGCGTAGTTATACACAAAGATTTCCTTCGAGCCAGGCTGCATCTTGTTGTCGTTAACGTCTCCTATGATGACGGTCAAGGTACTGGTCCCAGACATGGAAGGATTGCCAGAGTCCTTGATGACGATGGGAATCAAGAACTCCTTTTGCTGTTCCCTGTCGAACGACCGTAAAGACGACACCACGGCCATTCCGTCTCCGTTGGCGCCCTCTGAAAAATAAAATAACGAAAACTTGAGTGAAGAACTGTACTGTGTGTGATGGTCACTCTCTTATTTGAGATAACATCAATCGCCAGTGTGGCTGGATATTGAAAAAGATCGAAGACGTGTGTTTTGATAAGAGAATTGAAAGCATCAGAGGCGAAAAATAATTTCAGATTATTATTCTTGAAGAAAGGATTTCTCTCAGCGAGAAAAGATGTTACGTTTTTTACGCAGGCTATGACGAATATTCTTGTTGACGAAACTCACTGTTGTCGCTCTCTACTTTGAAACTAGCTCGGATCACGTCGTTTGCGTTAGGATCCATCCGGAAAGTGAACGGCGGGCCGTTGCTCCTCGATCGGTCGTCGTCGTCGGTAGCGAGGATCTCCACGACTTTTTTAGTTTGTGCGTATTCCGGCAAAACTGGACGATAATCCTTGAGGAATCGGGGCGGATTATCGTTGATATCCTGCACGACGACTGTCAGAGTGGCGGTCGCGGTTTTGGGCGGTATTCCATCGTCGATCGCCAAAATTTTCACCTACGACAAATGATCAATTTTTCAGTGACTTTTACACGCCGCTTAATTCCCCTTAAATTTCCATGCTATTTTAATTTCCACTGCGATTTATAATACATTTCATTAAACACGATACGCTTAATTAGCATGCTATAATATAAATTTAATTGCTATAATATATTCATGTTAAGTAACGTAAATTTAATTGAACAGATTTCATTAAAATGTTTATTTACGCATTCAGAATCGTTGAATTTGTTCATTGGAAAGATTTATTGAATTCCCCCTTAAATTTTATAACTTTCATAATTGTAAATTTTTATACATAAATAATTATAATTTTTATAGTTTCTCCACATTGGTTTTCGGTCGATTTTTCGTAATCGATTCTTCGTAATCTCTACCTGATGTCGAGGAGTCTCCTCGCGATCGAGGCTTCTCTGAATCGACACTGTGCCGTTTTCGTTGATGAAGAACTGTCGCTTTCGATCGGAGCTTCTGTCGATGGAATAGGAGACCTTGCTCTTCCCACCTTGATCCGGGTCGGTGGCCTTGAAAGTTTCCAAGGTACTGCCTATTCGAGCGTTCTCCGCAACGCTGGTCTCGATGTTGGCCTTCTCGAACTGCGGCTGATTGTCGTTGATATCTCGCAATTTCACAACCACCCAGGAATAGGCAACGTGATACTTGTCGTTGTCGTTGTCCTCGCCCTAACAAACAGTCGTCATAGCGCGTACGTGTCATTGCTACGAGATTCCGCACGAGATTTCCGTAAGTGCAAGATATACCGGAGCAATTTATTCCGCGAGGCCATCAATTCTTGAGACGTACGTAAATCGAGCTAAAAAATTTCAGGAGGGTTCTCTGGGCCTCGAATCTCAGGTATATCCCGCGTTACCGGGAGATGCATGCATGCGGGCCTCCGCGGGAGTTTACATATTTCATGCAATCCTCCTGGCCTTACCTTATCGTTCACCTGTATCCTAAACCTAAAGCCATTGCTCTGCAGTTGGTCCTCGTAATCCAGCGACTGTACAATTTTCAGCGACCCCGTGCCGTCGTTGTTCCGCACCATGGTGAACTTGTCGGCGCCGTAGCCGCTGCTCTCGATCACCTGAAAGCCGTCGCGTGCGTCGCTTATAATAATCGTCCGGCCGAGGCCGACGGCCAAAGGAAAGATTCGCCGGAGCGAAGTGGTCGCGACGATCCAACCTCGCCGAACGGCGAGGAGAATTGTGAAAACGCGAACGATGGCGCTACCTTGTACTGGAACTTGTTGGTCTCGTCCTCGTCGTGGACGGTGACGGTGAGTATCGGCATTTCCGGCAGATCCGGCCCTTCCGTCTCGTCCACTTCGGTGAACCACTCCTCCTTGGTGAACTGCGGCGGCATGTCGTTTATATCTTTCACTCGTATCGACGCCGTCCCGGTCCCTGAAAAGAAGGCGCATACGTGCTCGGCAACGACACCTGGCTCTGGCCGCGCGCGCTCGCCCGGCGGAATATCAACCGTCGCTCCCGGGGAAAATACTTAAAATATGCAGAATGATACCGCGAGTGTCCGCCGACGTTTTATGGACGCCGCGATGCCGGAATACCAACTTGCGCGCGAGCCGCAAAGCGGATATTTGGGCTGGCGGCGCGGAGCACGCACAATCGATGGAATCGTATTTTACGGGGGTAGGGTGAGGAGGGGGGGAGGGGAGGCAAAACAATGTCAAACATCGGCAAATGGACCGTGTCTTCTTCCACATTTTCCGCGAGTGGAAAATGCGCGCGCTCTGTATTGAATAATTTCACGAGGCCGAGATGGAGTCCGCGCGACAGCTCGTTGGTTGCGCGAAACGTGCTGGGAAATTGAGACGAGGCATATATATATGTAAATACGCGGGATTAAAATAATACCGCCGAAAAAGTACCTTTTAACCCCCCTCCATCCATCGCGACGACCTGTATAGAATAATCCGGGGTGCGTTCGCGGTCCAAGCAGCACACCGCGGTCTTGATTACGCCGGTGTCCGACTCGATCTCGAAGATCGGCGAGCCGGTCTCCTCCTCGATCACGTTCTTCTCGATGGAGTAGACGAGCCTCGCGTTCGTGCCTTCGCTCGGGTCGTCGTAGTCCACGGCCGTCATCGTCATCACCACCATTCCTACACGGAAAAGTACAAAATCGACGCGACGAATGTTAATTCTCCGACTGAATCTCCGAGATGATGGAAGAAGGGGTGAGAAGAAGGTCCACACTGTTATTTTCGACGACAGAAGAGGACGGACGGACGAGCGAAGTGCCTCTCTCTCTCTCTCTCTCTCTCTCTCTCTCTCTCTCTGAAAGACGCGTCCCGACGAATCGATCAGTCTTTTCATCGCGCCGCGCGCGAATTTCTCCCGAGAGAGGATTTAATCGGCGCAAATGTAACGTTACGAGACGAACCGCGCTCGTCCGGTCAGCCCCGTCCGCCGGCCATTGGCCACAAACCTGCGGTGCCGTTCTCGGTGACGTTGCCGAAGTAGACCCCCTGCGGGAATATCGGGGCGTTGTCGTTGATGTCCTTGAGGTTAACTTGCACGTCGGCGTAACCCACGAGACCCTCTCCGCCCTCGTCCTGTGCAAACACGGTGAACCGCCACTGCGGCCGGCCATTCGGTTGGTCTCTATCCAGCGGCTACACCGGGAGAAAAAGGAAGAGTGTCACGTATAGGAGATCCTTTTGAGGAGCCGGTCAAACATACAATTCAACAAGGACGTCGTGTATTGACACGGCCTTCGCCGGGAACTCAATATCGTCGCGCGCGCGTCGCCGATATTTGAATTATTCCGCCGTGTACTCGCAATATCGCGCATCTCCCGCAGCCACACGTGCACAAATGTTGCGTTCCCCGCTTATAGAAGAATGAATTTCCCGCGTCAGGCACGCGCAGGTGTTGGATTATTGCGCCCCGGTGCCGGCGTCGATCGATCTGAGGTCGATCTTGCCTGAGCGACGATTCGACCAGCGAAATCCTTGAACGGCTCAAAATCACTGTCATTTCCGGGGATTTTTTCCGAGGACACAACGAAAGAAATACAAAGATGAAAATGAAAATAATATTTATTAAGCAACTTTTTCAAGGAAAAAAGTACTTTTTTTTTTGTAAATATTTTAAAGAAAATGGCGGCGTTGAAGCCGAGACACTGAGAGCCCTTTTTGGCCGACGCTCTCAGTTACGGTGTTACAGCATTGGATGTGAAGCAAAAACGAAAAAATTTTTACTATTTAGATGCCAGAAACTGAAGAAGTACATATGGATATTTAGAAATATTTACTTTTGTGGAAATGATAAACACTTGAAACAAAATTTCATGTTGTCACCTAAAAATTTCGTGCAAAAGTGTTAACTGCGACAAAGGGTTTTAGCATTCCGCAAAATCCAAATGGAATTTCTTCAGTTTCCAGCATCTAGATAATGAAAATTTTTTCGTTTTTGTTTTACGTCCAATGCTGTAGCCGTGAGACTGACATCGCTGAGGGCGTCGTCGGTCAAAAAGTGTCTCGGCTTCAACGCCGCCATTTTGTTTAAAATATTTACAAAAAAAGTGGTTTCTTTCCCTCAAAGAGCTGCTTAATAAATACTTATATTAATTACTTAATTACATAATATATAATTATATAATATATAATAATTATATTAATACTTAATAAATCATTGTCACTTTTGTATTTCTTTTGCAATGCTCTCAGAAAAAATTCCTGAAAATAACGATGATTTTGACCCGTCCAAGGTGGTCTAACCCTTTAATCCAATGCATTCGACAAAGACGCACGAGTCGAGTCTCCACGTCGTCGCAAATTCGCAAAATGGATCCTCGCGGCATATCGTAGCGAGTCGGCGTCTCTCTGCTTTTCTCGTATTCCGTCGGAATATGATCGCGATTTGGGCGGCGAAATAGCGTTTCGCCGCGACTGTATATCGGCTGTATATCGGTATTCAATTACACTATAGGAGGATGCAATCGGATATACAGACCTTCAGGACGAAGATCTCGCCGGTCGTGCGGTTGATATCGAACTTGCTGTTGGTGGGATTATCGGCGTCGATGCCTTGTCCGGTCAGGAAGTAGACGATGTTTTGCGGTCGGTCCTTATCTCCGTCGGTGGCGGTGACCTGCGAGCCGAATTGCGAATTGACCGTAAGCTGACAGCTGCGGCGCGCGCGCGCGCGAAACGTTCCGAACCGAACGACGACGACGACGACGCGAGTTTTGCGGGCCGGTCGTGTAATTCGGAAGGAAATTCGATGTAACGATGACATAAGGAGAGCAATTACCCCGAGGACGCGCTTCGGCAGAGTTCTGTCGTCCTCCTCGGTAATTTGTGTCCTGTAATTTGGTCGCTCGAAGACGGGCGGGTTGTCGTTCACGTCCTTCACGTGAATTACAACAGTCGTGTAATTCTCCTTCAAGTTGTCGGAGGCAGTAAGCCGGAGCTCGTACTGCAAGACACAAGCATGGATTTCAATCTGCCGCGAAAGCATCTCGCGTTACGTTATATTTTCATAGCTCGAACAGCATTCTTTTCCGCGCGCGCGGAGGAAGACGAGAAACGCGTTGCGTTTTCGCAACGTCAACGTCAGACTATTGTTTCTCGGATTGATATCTCTCGTCTGTGTAATTAAAATGAAAGCGTCTTCTCCTACGGTATCGCTCGGCGGCGAGCGGCGGAGAACTGCAATGACTAATTGTTTAGCCACTCTTTAGGAAGGTAGAAATGAAGACAACGCGGCGCGCTCGGGAGAAAGAATAAAACTTGCTGAAATCCTTTGTGCGCGACCGAGAAGCCCGGTTCTCGAATAACTTTGGAATAAATAAAGAGAACTTAACGTCGAGTGCGCGTGCGCACACCACTCGACGGGAACGGTGCTACAAGATGCGGCTAAAAGGCGTTCGAGCGGTACACGCTTCAATGACATTTATGGCGATACCTACCCTCTTCCTCGTCTCATAGTCCAACGCACCCGCGACGTAAATGGCGCCGGTCATGTTTTTCACGGCGAACGCACCGCCTATGTTCCCGCTCGTGATCTCGTATCGAATACGCGAGGCTGCGACAGAAAAGAGGATGCTTTTAATAAAAGCTACGTGTCAGGGCGAGCCTCACCCTCTCTCTTCCCTCCTCCTTTTCTCTCTCTCTCTCTCTCTCTCTCTCTCTCTCTATCTCTCTCCGCGGTGCATTGTAATCGAGTGAATTCCGAGATAAAAGTTCCCACTGCGAGGAGTGTTTTATCGAATAAGAAAGTTCACGAGAGCTGTACGCGAGCGAAGGAGAGGAGGGAGCTGAATGGCGAGAGAGTGGGCCACCCTTCGACCGGTTGACCGCTTGAACTTTGCTCGATGTGCCCCCCCTCCCTCCCGATCGCGATAATTCGCGATTTACACGTAATCTAGATGGGGTCCGCTCGAGGTAATTCCGCGCAAAACGGTAGTCGTTTCGAGCCGGTCTCGGATCAGGTAAGGACGATAGCACGCGGAACGTTAAATTTGAGACTCGGCGAGCTGGGTTTATCTATTATTTTTCTCTTCGTTTTCAGCAGAAGGGTCGCTTCGGCTTTCGCATCGCCACCGTCCGCCATTGTGGCAATTTGCAAAGCCTTTGAACGATCTGCAAGTTGCGATAGAATCCAGCTCTCGTGGAATCATCTCTCTCTCTCTCTCTCTCTCTCTCTCTCTCTCTCTCTCTCTCTCTCTCTCTCTCTCTCTCTCTCTCTCTCTCTCTCTCTCTGTGAGAAAACGTTCGAAGAGTCCGAATTAAACTTGTAAAGGATGCTTGTGCAAATGTATGTACACAGAGAGAACGATTTAATTGAATTTAACAAATGCTTATTTGGAATAGTCCAAATAAATTTTTTGATCGATCGAACGAAATTTTGTTTGACGCAACAAAAATATTTTGTTGCAGCTTAGTTCCAACGAAATGTTTTTGTTGCGTCAAACAAAATTTTGTTCGATCAATCAAAAGATTTATTTCGACTATTCCAAATAAGCATTCGTTAGATCCAACTAAATCGTTCTCTCTGTGTAGATATGCTCGGTCGTTTCTTTTTTATGTCGCGCAACACAGATTCTCGATAAGGAAATTCTACCGCAAATTATCTGACGCATTGCACCCGTTGCGGTGTCACTGGCGGAATCGGCTGGGCCGATCTCGATCATTCGCCGCTTTAAATCGAGCGGTGTCTCTCTGTCTGTGTAATTTTTCAATCAAACAACAAACACACGGGGGCAATCTCGCACGCGCTGGAAACGGCGCGTTGATGCCGGCGGACTTTAATCTCGCACGCAGCGTCGCCTGCATCGTTTGTCACGCACCGTCACATTAATATACTTTACGCTATATTGGCTTTGCACCCGATTTGCACAAAGAATCCACACAGCCCGAGTCGCGCGGAACGCGGGTATCAATTTTAGGCGCGCCATCAATATTTATCGAGCGGCGAGTTCGACGTTTTAAAAGCACCGAAAGTGCGCACAAAATCGTTTAATGACCAACGTTTCATTTAATCCACCGGCGGGATCAAACACCGAAGCGCGAATTAAATGCGAGGAATTTGCGCGATTGATATTGCGCCAACGTTTCACGGCGGGACGTCTCACCCCGCCCTCCTGCCCCGTGATGCGCATATAATTATTACTTTTCGACGAACGACGAGGAGCGCGATTCGAGTTTCCATAGAGATGATCCTGCCGCTCCTGTATCGCGAATGTACACAATGGTCGAGCGCGATCGTCTGTAGTTGCGCTGCGAGAGAGTTTCTACTTCATCGTATCGGACGCGTCTCGTGACAAACGAGATTACATTCTACCTCTGGTATTAATTGCCCCGCGTCTATTTATAGTTGACCGCTGAAATGTAGCCGAATATACCGAATATACACCCGATACACCCAGCAGCGCCCACACGCGCTGTTTAAAGCGCGGTTACAAGGAGCGTTGTCAATTGTTGATGTTGGCTGCGCTATTAAAACGCCAGAGCGCCAGAGTGAGCGGTTCATACCCGACTAGAAATTTTGATCAGGTTCACCTAACATTGATAAGGACCTAATAGGGTGAATGAAAGGTAATCCTAAGTAAGTCAGTCCTTATAATGTCCTAACGACAAATGAGTAAGGAAGACCTTTATAAGGTTATAATGATTGAGTCCACATTAGGACCTTAATGTACCAACCTAGTGTATGATATAATATGGTTCAGTTGATCAGGTCCTTGTCGGGATCTTATTCATTGTACCTAATATGATTTGCATTATCAAGTTTTAACAAAAACCATTTGTAATTAATTTTATATGTATATAATATGAATATGTGTGTGTATGTGCACGTGCGCATGTGTGTGTGTGTGTGTGTGTGTATGTGTAAAACTTTAATAGTACTGAACGTAGTATAAAAAAAATATTTTTATAATGCGCCACATATAATTGGAGACAGTTCAATTTTTATCGTATGACGCGCAACGACGAGTAGTTGCCTGTGGCGGCGTGTGCACTGCAGCTCTCATTTGTCTTGCATTTGTCCATATATGGGCCTACAAGACAAAAGACGCTCGAGAAGCAGTTCAGTCGCCTACTCTGTGCGTGCGTGTTGCCTATCTCAGTGCGTGTTTATGTTGTGCGATGATTTATTGGTCGTGACGACACAGTTTGCAAGTATGCTCAAGCGATTTAAAATATCGTTTCATGCAAGTATCTTTTTATTTGGAAGTGACATGAAAGAATTTCCAGCGTGTCATTTCTTATTTCCAATGTCATCCGTCCAATATAGCCGTGGCGAGTAATCAGGGGCCATAATTTGAAAAAAAAAAAAAGCGTAATAAGGATTCCATAAAGTAAGCTCAATAAAGACCTAACTATGAACCTTACTAAGGTCCTAATATCCACGCTGTGTTACATGACTTACTAGGACCCGATAGTATTACCTTATTGGGACTTGATGTCCAAATGAGGTTAACCTGATCAGGACCATGGGATAAATTTCTAGTCGGGTAGTTGACAAAGCAGCTAATCAGCGACGAACCGCGAAGAGAATCCGCGGAAAGGAAGAGGATACTTACACTCATCGTGATCTTTGGCGGTAACGGTGAGCACCGTATGTTGGATGTCCTCATTCTCGTCTACCTCAGCCTCGTAGAGGCCCTTGTCGAAGTACGGGGGATTGTCGTTCTTGTCGGCTATCCCAATGCGAATGAATTTCGTTACTGCAACATGCCAAGAAAAATTTGCGCCGTTAGATTGCGCGACTCGCCAAACGATGCGCTCTCTCTCTGTCTCTCTCTCTCTCTCTCTCTCTCTCTTTCTCAGAGCCGCTGCGTAATTTCACATTTCCCCCGCGAATTAATTCCGTTGGACGTTAGAGACGCGGATAATGCCTCTTCACTTTTGTATTATGTATTTTTTCAACAACGAGCGCACGTGCTGCGATAAAGAGCGCTCGGGAGTCGAGACGTTAGTCCCGATTACTCTCAACGTTGAACTACTCGTTAAACATTGATTCGCAGTTATTCAGATACTCCGTTCGTGAAGTTTGTACAGGGTGTCTCATGCGCCGCGACTTAAATCTCGCCGAGGGATTCTCCGGGCGATTTAACGGCAATTTTTCCTCAGTGAAAACGCCGAGGCATCGGCGAGCGATACGAGCGATCGAACAAGGGCGGCTTTTCGCAAATTAAACTTCGACCGGGGCGAAATGGATGACAAAATGATCTCCCCCGATCAGCTCCAAGTTCAACCGGACTTCAACAGAAGTTCGCCTTCGGGCCTCAATCACAAGGATATCGTTACGTGGAGAACTGAAAAGTCCTCACGAACGGTGATTTCGCTCGACACTTTCGACGAGAAACAATCGTCTCCAAATTGCTCGGAGCAGCTCTCTCGGCGAAATCAAGATCGCGAGGTCTATATAGACGTAGGGACACTTCGCAGGAAGTACGTCCGCGTCCACAGGTGCGTGTCGCGGCCGTCAGGACGACGTTGAAGCGAGCAACGGTGAAAACGTTGTTTCGCGATTGTTACTCGCCCGCTATGTTTATGCAGGCGGCTGCCCTTCGCAAGAAAGATGTCAGCGCGAGCTATGATGCTGCAAGTTCGACCCTTTAAGTGCCCCCTATTCTTTTCCTTTCCTCGGAAAGGAAGTGATGGTACGATGTGCGTACGATGTTACATAACAAATGTAATAAAGATAAGCCAGAGTGTCTTCTTTTGCAGTATTCAGCGCGAATGCAAAATTCATACGGCGTGTTGGTCACATTTTTAAAATCTGGCTGGTACACCGGGGAATATTCTATATCCATTCGCGCAAGTGCCGTCGCTCTCAAGAAGCTCTCAGAGTAATGCACATAATCAATTATGTATTAAAATCTCGGCTGCGCGGGAGCAAGCATTTGTATATGCCGCATGCGACGAAATTTATTATGACACACGGCCAGACTTGTGCGCTCGCATCTCCGAGTTTGCAAAATATTTCTAAATAGAAATCTCTCTCTCTCTCTCTCTCTCTCTGGCCCCTTTTTTTCTTACGGCCGTGCCGAAAACGCGCAACGCATCTCGCCGGATGATTCAATATTTGTCGCTGGAAACTTTACACTGCGCGGCGCGTGTTATTAATCTACACAGTTGTAAAATCCGACGTTAAGCAAAACGGACGGAAGGCAAACATTAGTCGAACGCGCATTATCTCTCCGCCGGCGAGGATCGTAAATAAATCGGGCGGAACAATCTCGAGCATTTTATTGAGTATTTACATACGAAATGATACGGAAAGGGCGGCTTCCGGCCATCGGCCGGAACTTTCCTCGCGGCGCATTATGTATTCTCGCGCGGTTTGCTCTTAATGTACTTAGCGCCGAAGCGCGGAACTTGAACGATAAAGAATCTCGCGACCGTTAATCATTTTTTCGCCCCGCCGCGGAAATTTAAGATGGGCAATTACCGGCCGCGGCGCGGCAAAAAGGTTAAGTAGTTTCAGATAACGGCACTTCATTCCAGAAGTAGACGTTTATTGATGGAACTGGGTTGCCCAGCTAACGTATAATTGCGTTGGCTACCTTCTTACTCTCCTCATTTTCTTTTTCTTTTTCTAAATCGGCACATTAAGCCCTTAACCGCACCTCTCACGGCGGTAAGAAGCGCCCGGTAAACAACCGATAAGATCCGCATACATTTTGCATAATACACGGCGGATAATGCGCCATAAAGACAGGATAATGTTCGTCATTTCGCGAAGCTCGACGGGAGAGACGCGCTGTCCGGCTACCGAGACGTCCGATTAATTTCGCAGCCGGCGTTTCTATCCCGTCTCCAAAACCGAGAGGGAAAGAGAGAAAGAGAGAGAGAGAGAGAGAGAGAGAGAGAGAGAGAGAGAGAGAGCCGGTCAGCGAGCGAGACATGGGCGCTGAAACGGCGGCGAAATTAACGACGGGCGGCGAATTTATCCGGAATTAATTGCCGAAGCGAACGAACGAGAGAGCCGCATTTTGCTCGACGCGGTTGCCGCGCGCGTCCGTCGCAGCCTCGCTCGCGGATCCAAGCGTATCTCTGCATTTGCTTAACAAAATCGCCGAATCGACATTGTATTAGCGTAACGTATGTACACCGAGCCACATTAGCGGCATATCCGTTAAAATGCGTTGCCGCGTCCATTCGACGCCGAACGGGCCGTGATATTGCGCCGCGGCCAATTTGCTCGGAGGGAGCCGCGCCGCTAAGGATTTCTCTCTCTCTCTCTCTCTCTCTCTCTCTCTCTCTCTCTCTCTCTCTCCATCCCGCCACCCGGCCGTTTCAACTCCGGCCGTTTCCTCCGCTCGACAAATATTCGGTTGATTAAGTTAATCCGGGCGCGGATACCTCTCTCGCCCCCGGCCTCGTGTGTGCTCACTCCTTCGCCAAGTGTGATAGTTCAGAAATGGGTAGCACGTGTGAACCTTAACGTCCGCGAGCTTCGTACGAGCTTCGTTTAATTTCATTAGAAGTTAATTATATCCGGGGAGGATTCTCCGCGCCGCGCGCGCTCGCGATTATGTCCTTAATGGGGATTAAACTCCCCGAGTTGTTTTTCAAGTGGGACACATTCAGCCGCCAAGCCGCGCCGCCATCGCGCGCTCGCATCAGCTCATGACTCGCGATGACTCCCGGTCCTTGCCACTTTGCCTCGACATTTTCCAGCCCGTATCGGGACTAATGAGAATTAACGTCGTCGTCGTCGTCGTCGTCGTCGTCGTCGACGAGGCAGGATTTATCTCCCTATTTTCGGAGATTTCACAACGGCGATAGCGCGCGCTGAGAATAAACAGATCATACGATCGAGGTTCTCGCTCGCCGAGCAAATGTTTAACTTTGCTGGGATCATCGCGCTTTCAAATGGAGCGCAATCGAGAAACATTGTTGCGAGTCACTACGTGTAACACGGTTTAGACGTTACAGCGGAGCTCAACCGAGAGAGAGAGAGAGAGAGAGAGAGAGAGAGAGAGAGAGAGAGAGAGAGAGAGAGAGAGAGAGGAAGCGAGGGATATAACTCGCGCTAACGTCACCTTCCGCACTTAATAGACTCGCGAAACAAAGCTCCCCCTCCCTCGCGTCACCTCCCTCCCCATTCCGCGTGTCGCGTCGTCAATATGCACAATTACGCGAATGCATAAACCGATTCGACGCGGGGGAGACATTTGTTATCTCACGGTGCGCTGTTAAACACCCCGGACGACCGTTATTAAAGCGTCGCGGTTGCGGCCGCGCCGCGCGGCGAGGGGGAGAGATTTATCGCCGGCAGTAAGCGCTAACTTCTGCAAAATAATCGGCTCATTTTCGCGCGGAGATCGCGCCGGCGATAAACAGCCGCGGCGGGGAGGCGCGCATGATTGATTCGTGAGCTCGCTGCTTCCGACGTGACCGGGATAAAGTTAGGAGCCGGATGCGTACGCGCGCGCTATCGTGACGGGCGGAATTTACGTAATGATAATTCATCATTGCGCCTATCGTAAGTGTTGCCGCACGGCTGTGTGCATACATCATTGTTAACGGTCGAGAATGTCGGTTCTCTCCTTCTAATAGATTGCGCCGGGCCGCGATTCGCGATGCGGCGCGCGTCGCATTCGCGAATTCGCCTGTACCCTCGCGATAATGCGACGCTAGATTAACGTAATCGGGATAAATCGCGCGCGCGCGCACGCGCGTTTCTTCCGCCGCGGGAAAGCGTTGCGCTGCGGTCCGGAATTTATCTTCTGTAGGGGGAAGAGGGCCTTTTCCAGCTGCGCGCGCGTTGTAGAATTAAACGCACGCTCACTCACATACGGCCGGCTCGCTCTCCCCAGGAGTTTCTATCCCTTATTCAGGACGCCGTGCCCCCCCCTCCCTCCCCCCTCCTTCCAGCGTCTTCGTTTTATCCAGGATTTCCGAGAGACATCAAGTTTTAACTAGCGCGCGTCGGAGATACGAGAGAGTCGGGATGTATTCCTTTTCGGAGGAGTCCCTTCCTCCGAAGAGACACCGCGTTATCGCGAAACGACGGCACGGCTGATTCCGAGGAGTAATTATATGGCGGAATAGTAATCGCGCGGCTGCGCCGGTGTTATAGAAAAGTGCGATGAATGGGACGATTCGCCGATAAGTCAAGATCTCGGGACGGTTTTGATAACGAAGTCGCGCGACGTGAGACTAGTAGTAGTAATCGCATCGATGCGCGTTTAATGAATTAATCAGCGGCGCGCGGCACAAGCGTAACCGTAATGCGGACTAATAGCTGTGTGTGAATTAATTATCGCTTTATTCACTCGTATTAATGAATTCTGTCACGACGACGTAAATATGTAATATTCAGGATTGAGTCGCGAGTCGCCCGCGAAAATATTATCGACTGCTCGCTTCTTGGCGTCGCAACCGCGCGACGCCGCGCGATCGATGCGCCGTATCTTCCCCGTATAATCTGCGAAAACATTTTAACGGCTGTTTAATCAATATCAGCCGACGACGAGTTGGAGTTCGTGCGACAACGACCGTTTCCGTGATCGGAATCCCGTTGTATTAGAAAACTGCGCGCTCTTTCCCGCCCCTGCTCTCTCTCTCTCTCTCTCTCTCTCTGTCTCTCTCTCTCTCTCTCTCTCTCTCTTTCTCTCTCTGTTTCTGTCGTCGCCGTATCTTTTCACCTTTTGTCGCGACGGGATCCAAAGTTTCCCGGGGTATTCACGTCGCAAAGGAGATTTGCCGCGCG